CAACCATGTAACACCCCTGCTCACCAGTTTCCTACAACCCTGTAACACCCCTGCTCGCCAGTTTCCTACAACCCTGTAACACCCCTGCTCACCAGTTTCCTACACCCCTGTAACACCCCTGCTCACCAGTTTCCTACACCCCTGTAACATCCCTGCTCAACAGTTTCCTACACCCCTGTAACATCCCTGCTCACCAGTTTCCTACACCCCTGTAACACCCCTGCTCACCAGTTTCCTACACCCCTGTAACACCCCCTGCTCACCAGTTTCCTACACCCCTGTAACACCCCTGTTCACCAGTTTCCTACACCCCTGTAACATCCCTGCTCACCAGTTTCCTACACCCCTGTAACACCCCCTGCTTACCAGTTTCCTACACCCCTGTAACACCCCTGTTCACCAGTTTCCTACACCCCTGTAACAGCCCTGCTCACCAGTTTCCTACAACCCTGTAACACCCCTGCTCGCCAGTTTCCTACAACCCTATAACACCCCTGCTCACCAATTTTCTACACCCCTGTAACACCACTGCTCACAAGTTTCCTACACCCCTGTAACACCCCCTGCTCACCAGTTTCCTACACCCCTGTAACACCCCTGCTCACCAGTTTCATACAACCATGTAACACCCCTGCTCACCAGTTTCCTACAACCCTGTAACACCCCTGCTCGCCAGTTTCCTACACCCCTGTAACACCCCCTGCTTACCAGTTTCCTACAACCCTGTAACACCCCTGCTCATCAGTTTCCTACATCCTGTAACACCCCTGCTCACCAGTTTCCTACACCCCTGTAACACCCCTGCTCATCAGTTTCCTACACCCCTGTAACACCCCTGCTCACCAGTTTCCTACAACCCTGTAACACCCCTGCTCACCAGTTTCTTACACCCCTGTAACACCCCTGCTCACCAGTTTCCTACAACCCTGTAACACCCCTGCTCGCCAGTTTCCTACAACCCTGTAACACCCCTGCTCACCAGTTTTCTACACCCCTGTAACACCACTGCTCACAAGTTTCCTACACCCCTGTAACACCCCCTGCTCACCAGTTTCCTACACCCCTGTAACACCCCTGCTCACCAGTTTCCTACACCCCTGTGACATCCCTGCTCACCAGTTTCCTACACCCCTGTAACATCCCTGCTCACCAGTTTCCTACACCCCTGTAACACCCCTGCTTACCAGTTTCCTACACCCCTGTAACACCCCCTGCTTACCAGTTTCCTACACCCCTGTTCACCAGTTTCCTACACCCCTGTAACATCCCTGCTCACCAGTTTCCTACACCCCTGTAACACCCCCTGCTTACCAGTTTCCTACACCCCTGTAACACCCCTGTTCACCAGTTTCCTACACCCCTGTAACACCCCTGTTCACCAGTTTCCTACACCCCTGTAACACCCCCTGCTCACCAGTTTCCTACACCCCTGTAACACCCCCTGCTTACCAGTTTCCTACACCCCTGTAACACCCCTGTTCACCAGTTTCCTACACCCCTGTAACACCCCCTGCTTACCAGTTTCCTACACCCCTGTAACACCCTCTGCACACCAGTTTCCTACACCCCTGTAACACCCCTGCTCACCAGTTTCCTACACCCCTGTGACATCCCTGCTCACCAGTTTCCTACACCCCTGTAACATCCCTGCTCACCAGTTTCCTACACCCCTGTAACACCCCTGCTCACCAGTTTCCTACACCCCTGTAACACCCCCTGCTTACCAGTTTCCTACACCCCTGTAACACCCCTGTTCACCAGTTTCCTACACCCCTGTAACACCCCTGCTCACCAGTTTCCTACACCCCTGGCCTGTAACACCCCCTGCTTACCAGTTTCCTACACCCCTGTAACACCCCCTGCTTACCAGTTTCCTACACCCCTGTAACACCCCTGTTCACCAGTTTCCTACACCCCTGTAACACCCCCTGCTCACCAGTTTCCTACACCCCTGTAACACCCCCTGCTTACCAGTTTCCTACACCCCTGTAACACCCCTGTTCACCAGTTTCCTACACCCCTGTAACACCCCCTGCTTACCAGTTTCCTACACCCCTGTAACACCCTCTGCACACCAGTTTCCTACAGCCCTGTAACACCCCTGCTCACCAGTTTCCTACAGCCCTGTAACACCCCCTGCTCACCAGTTTTCTACACCCCTGTAACACCTCTGCTCACCAGTTTCCTACACTCCTGTAACACCCCTGCTCACTAGTTTCTTACACCCTGTAACACCCCTGCTCACTAGTTTCTTACACCCTGTAACACCCCTGCTCACCAGTTTCCTACACCCTGTAACATCCCCTGCTCACCAGTTTCATACACCACTGTAACACCCCTGCTCACCAGTTTCCTACACCCCTGTAACACCCCTGCTCACCAGTTTCCTACACCCCTGGCCTGTAACACCCCCTGCTTACCAGTTTCCTACACCCCTGTAACACCCCCTGCTCACCAGTTTCCTACACCCCTGTAACACCCCCTGCTTACCAGTTTCCTACACCCTTGTAACACCCCTGTTCACCAGTTTCCTACACCCCTGTAACACCCCCTGCTTACCAGTTTCCTACACCCCTGTAACACCCTCTGCACACCAGTTTCCTACAGCCCTGTAACACCCCTGCTCACCAGTTTCCTACAGCCCTGTAACACCCCCTGCTCACCAGTTTTCTACACCCCTGTAACACCTCTGCTCACCAGTTTCCTACACTCCTGTAACACCCCTGCTCACTAGTTTCTTACACCCTGTAACACCCCTGCTCACTAGTTTCTTACACCCTGTAACACCCCTGCTCACCAGTTTCCTACACCCTGTAACATCCCCTGCTCACCAGTTTCATACACCACTGTAACACCCCTGCTCACCAGTTTCCTACACCCCTGTAACACCCCTGCTCACTAGTTTCCTACACCCTGTAACACCCCTGCTCACCAGTTTCCTACACCCCTGTAACAGCCCTGCTCACCAGTTTCCTACACCCCTGTAACACCCCTGCTCACCAGTTTCCTACACCACTGTAACACCCCTGCTCACCAGTTTCCTACACCACTGTAACACCTCTGCTCACCAGTTTCCTACAATATTTTGTTGTTCTACCAAGCAAATTTTCCCAAAGCACCAACAGCCCACTCCTTTTTTACTTGAGACATTTTCAAATTTCGTGATCCTTTACTTACTGTATCCAATTTCTTGCTTTGGTGTAAAATTCTGATTACATTAATTATACTTCTAAAACGGACAAGACCTGAAGCCCCCTCCCCCCCAGAGCCCCAGGCCCCCTCCCCCCGGCCCACCCAGGGCCCACTACAACGCCTCTTATTTGTAAATAATCCCAGTTACTCCTCAGTACATCAAGTGGCGAGAACTGTTACTATATATTATCTACTACTACTCTCCTCAGTACATTGTTCCAGCGTACGTTCTATTTAACCTGTGGGCCATCCTGGTGATAACATTTACCCTGATGTACCACGAGTTAGGGTTGTATACTGCTCTGGCTGGTTTTATTTCCACTCTTATGTTCGTTCCTCTGCAGTTCCTGAACGGAAAGTTTATTCTTTATCTGAGGTGAGTAAACAAATTTAACAAATAAATAAAACAAATAAATAAAAGATATATACTTGGTCAACCAGGCAGGAAGATCTCAAGTTACAAATAGTTTGAGTTATATCAAAATAATGTCAGTGTGGCTGTACGGCTTGACGTTAATAATAATTAATTGAATTTTCAAATAAATTAAAAATCGAGGTCTTTCAACTTCTGTCCGTTGTAACCTTATTTGTAGGTTATATATTAAGAGAAGGTTTTGTTTGTGCAATACTGATATAAACATGTGATGATATAAACATGTAATGATATAAAAATGTGATGATATGAACATGTAATGATATAAACTAATTACAACACTACAAATCTATTACATTTATTGAGAATTATGTAATGTAACGTGATGGAAATATTTTAAACGGGCATATCCTGTCCAAACCCAGGATGCACTACATGAAGAATTCGTTGTAACTTCGTTTGAAAATCATTAATACACATGTAATGACATAAACATGCAATGATTTTATTCTTCAGATTTGACTTCTTTAAACAATTAAGTTGCAAATTCCGACTACACGCTGATTTATTTTTTAAAATTATTTTTTAAAATTATTTTTTGATTTGTGTTTTGATTTGTGTTTTGATTTATGTTTTGATTTATGTTTTAAATTATTTTTAAATTTTTTTTTGATTTATGTTTTGATTTATGTTTTGATTTATGTTTTAAATCATTTTTTGATTTATGTTTTGATTTGTTTATTATATTCATTAATGGATTATAATATACTTCAGTGTACAAGATACGACAAATTATACCCTGTAACTAGATCAACTGAAAACGAAATATTTTGATTTCGATATAGTGGCAAATTGTTGTGAGATAGTCGGACTGTTACATACATACATACATACTTGTTACATGGTAAGGTCTCCTCCTAGTCGTTGGAGTGGCCTGCATCACACACATCGCGTTGGCGGCGTAACATATGTCTCCACTGTACTCGGTTGGTAGCCAAAGCTTCTGTTGTGTCGTTGTCGATGTTTTCAACACCTGTAAACTTAGCAGCATCTTCGAGTACGCAGGACTTCCAGTTCTTACGGACTGTATCAATGTCTAATCAATCCTCGTAACGTAATTGGAACATCACGTGACGTCATCACGCCACCAAGTGACGTCATCACGCCACCAAGTGACGTCATCACAACATCACGTGACGTCACCACAACATCACTTGACGTCACCACAACATCACATGACGTCACCACAACACCACGTGACGTCATCACAACATCACGTGACGTCACCACAACATCACGTGACGTCACCACAACATCACGTGACGTCACCACAACATCACGTGACGTCACCACAACATCACGCGACGTCACCACAACATCACGCGACGTCACCACAACATCACGTGACGTCACCACTGATCAAAACATCTTCCAGGGGTCGGATAGCTCCTCTGACAGATAGCAGAGTTAAGACAATACACGAGATGATAATGTTCATGAAGATAATAAAGATGTACTGTTGGGAGCACATGTTCAAAAATCTCATCGAAACGGTAATTTTAACTAATAGTAATATGTTATTTTATGTCCGGTATTTCAGATTTCCGTGAGAGTGAGGACAGTAAGGTCAGTGAGAGTGACACAAGTCTCCATCAAGGTAATGGAACCAGTATATCCGGAGAAAACTTTGACGGAATGATCATTTTGAAAATGTCCTACCGGTAGGACATATTCAGATTTCAGCTTTCCGCGACCCATATTTCACTGTTTTTGACTGAATTTTTCTTGAATGATCATCTAGCAAGGTGATTGGGAACCAGCTTTGTTTACTGGTTAATGTTTACTCAAGAATTTATACATACAATAATATATACAATAATTATATACCTAAATCCGCTAATAAGATTTCATTAATTATTGAAATACAGGCGCTGCTTAGATAAATGCAATGCCTAGCAACCAACTCTTGCACTAAAAATAGGCTTTAAAACAGTCTGAAGACTATCCAGTCCTGTATAGAAAGTTATAAGCCTAGTCGGCACCCGCTTAGCACTAACTAAAACTTCACTCACACTGAAAAACAAGCATTATCACACATGTACTGATAAATACACTCAATTGCGACTACAGCTGAATATCTGTCCCTCCTTAATGTAAAACTTTTTGTCCGGCTCCGCTAAAGCTTTAGCTCTCATGCTGGCAATCAGCTCCTTTCGGGCTTCCCGCTGCTCCAGTGATCTGTCAGGGCTCAAAAACACAGTCTTAAACTTGGCTGATTGTCGCAATTTCCGAGCGTTTGCTAAGATTTGATGTACGATCAAGGAGCTGGTCAGGCAGACTTTCACTGGGCGAGTACAGGTAGAAGTTTTCTTCTTGCCGAGTCGCTCTACTTCCACCTTTGGTTTCTGCAAAAAAAAAAAAGGTCACTGAGGATAGCCCAAGACAGAATTGAGGTACTGAAAGTTCTATTCCCAAAGAAAGCTTGGATAAACGGAAAATCATCAGAATAGAAAAAAAGATTTTGTAAGACTTTTGAAGTGAATCTTTTCTGCCGTTTCCGTGACCGAAATTTAGCGGTTTTTGCTGAATTTTTGACTGAATTTTTGACTGAATTTTTGACCAGTGACCAATCAGTGAGGTCGGTTAGAATGACGCAAGTCGCCATCGAGGTAATGGAACCAGTATATCTGGAGAAAACTTTGACGGAATGAAAATTTAGAAAATGTCGTACCGGTAATTTAAATTAAATTTCTACTCGATAGGTATTTTTTGGAATCGGTTAAAAAAAGTCGAACCCGGAACCAGACAGAAAGTCAGTTTCTAGAAAAAATTATAACGATTTGCTATAACCCGGTTATATCCCACCAAACACCATGACACTCTTGTTCCGGTTTAAAACTGAAATGGGAATATCGTTAAAAAAGTTTAAACATACTTTATCATAAATTTGTGTCTGTTACTTTGGAAAAAACATAATGCTACAATGTTAAAATCAGTAATCATGTGCTAATCACGTGACCACGTGCTAATCACGTGACCAGAGTGTGATAAACTCATTGACATGAACGTTCATCATTAACCAACCCATCTTAAAACAATTAGATTAGTTAGCTGATATGCCTGATCACGTACTGATAACAGATAACAGTCCTGCAACTCACTTGACACTTCTCATCTCTCTGAATCCTCTTCACACTACTTAATCTAGATGTTGAAGTATTTTCCCGCCAAAATTGTTCATAGTTGATAAGGTTTTGGTATTTGATGAGTGTACTGAATATTCAGACTCTTGTAAAATACTTTTTCAGATCGAATTAAACTCCGACTACGATCTAAATAGCAGAAATAATAACAATTGCTAAGATTTTATGTAAACGTTATTGCTCAGCAGCTTGAAGGAAGTTATTTAAATTATTCACCGTACATTTAGAGGCCAGATCTGGTTTTTGTACCCTAATCAAATTACGTAAGTAGGGTGTCTGGAGGGTTTATCTGAAGCTACATACATGCTACATGGTCCTTAATCTTATCTGAAGCAGGGTCCTTAATTTAACCGGATAAGGTTTTAAAATGTGAGATACCGTGCCATTATCTGTACTACATACAACTGTCATCATGTTTTAACAAGCTAAAGGTATAAATGAGTCAAATGAGAACCTACCTATTCAGTAAAAACACTAAAAAGGGTGTTTACTAACAGTCCTCATTCCTAAATGCTAACTCTAAACTTGCAGGAATCTGCTTCTTTGAAAGATTTTCAATGCAGTGTGATCCATTTTACTTGTTCATTTAATTTTAGCCTAATTCAGTACAGTCTAATTTCACTGCTATTTTCGTACAAAAAATAAATGTGTCCTCACTTCATAAATTGTTTTTGCTTAGTTCATATATATGATAAATTATAATATGGACTGTGGTACATTATTTATTGCAGCCCTTTGATAAAATTTGAATCCTCAGTTTGAGGACCTCAAAGTCAAAATTGGTAAACATGCCGAACATGCCGAACATTTTCAATCTTAGCCCCTGTCAGTCTGTCCCAATTAGAAACACAGATTTTCAGCGCTGATTTCACAAATTTAGGGTTGTCAAGTATCACCAAATATCGGTGAAATTATAAAATAGAAACGCGGAGAATATGATACTCGTCTAGACTGATCAGATCTTAATTGAACCATAAGGGATCATGTTTGACCTTATTTGTAATACAACACCAACTACAACTTGGAAAGTCGTTCCAAATATTGGGGATTCTAATCTGGTTTGAGGAGAATGTTTTCCATACAAAGTTACCATTATCGGTATAAAATCTTTTATCTAGATAAACAGATAAAGATTTAGGTTTTATCTAGATAAAACCGATAGAACCGATAAAACTGATGATTTTTCTGCTGAAGGCCAAAGCCAAAATGTTTTCCAAATTTCACAAAAACTAATTGTCGACTTTTATCACTGTTTACCACTTTACCAGTAATTTTGGTAAAGTACCACTTCCTTTCTTTTGAAAATATTAGAGCATAATTTTTTATCCCCTGAGAACAGTTGTGGAACACAACAAGAAAATTGAGAATAATCTTGTGCGAGGGTAGGGACCCAGATGTCGTTTCTAACCCAAATAAACTTTAAGGAGGCTTCTCATCAGTAGCCGCACCTCCTTAATCGGTTTCTGAACTGGAATTCTATGGGCTTCCAGGTGGCCAGACCGAGTATTACCATCCCATCCTTCTAGAGTTCATCACAAGTAGCACCCACCTTGAAGATCTTTGTACTACCAGTTCTCTTCAAAACAGTAGATCACTGGTTTCCTTCTCTTAAGAACAGAAGTGTACCAGTTCTCTCCAAAAACAGTAGACCACCGGTTTCCCCCAAATACCTGTGCACGATCAGATATTTGTACATTTGAAGTTAAGTGATCGACTGGATGCAGAATACCAGCCAAAACGGCCCCTTTTTGGGCGGGAAGTTTTAGTGGTCTGTCAGACCATTTTTTTGGTTTTTCTAATAAAATTTCTGCTTAAAGTAACAAGAGAATCTACCGATCAGTTAGAGATTCCCAGTAAATCATCCATTTTTCACGTGCCGCCTAGTTAAAAACACAAACTGGACCATGCGTACAAACTAGACCACGTACAAACTAGACCACGTACAAACTAGACCACGTACAAACTAGACCACGTACAAACTAGACCACGTACAAACTAGACCACGTACAAACTAGACCACGTACAAACTAGACCACGTACAAACTAGACCACGTACAAACTAGACCACGTACAAACTAGACCACGTACAAACTAGACCACGTACAAACTAGACCACGTACAAACTAGACCACGTACAAACTAGACCACGTACAAACTAGACCACGTACAAACTAGACCACGTACAAACTAGACCACGTACAAACTAGACCACGTACAAACTAGACCACGTACAAACTAGACCACGTACAAACTAGACCACGTACAAACTAGACAACGTACAAACTAGACCACGTACAAACTAGACCACGTACAAACTAGACCACGTACAAACTAGACCACGTACAAACTAGACCACGTACAAACTAGACCACGTACAAACTAGACCACGTACAAACTAGACCACGTACAAACTAGACCACGTACAAACTAGACCACGTACAAACTAGACCACGTACAAACTAGACCACGTACAAACTAGACCACGTACAAACTAGACCACGTACAAACTAGACCACGTACAAACTAGACCACGTACAAACTAGACAACGTACAAACTAGACAACGTACAAACTAGACCACGTACAAACTAGACCACGTACAAACTAGACCACGTACAAACTAGACCACGTACAAACTAGACCACGTACAAACTAGACCACGTACAAACTAGACCACGTACAAACTAGACCACGTACAAACTAGACCACGTACAAACTAGACCACGTACAAACTGCACCACGTACAAACTAGACCACGTACAAACTAGACCACGTACAAACTAGACCACGTACAAACTGTACCACGTACAAACTGTACCACGTACAAACTAGACCACGTACAAACTAGACCACGTACAAACTAGACCACGTACAAACTAGACCACGTACAAACTAGACCACGTACAAACTAGACCACGTACAAACTAGACCACGTACAAACTAGACCACGTACAAACTAGACTACGTACAAACTAGACCACGTACAAACTAGACCACGTACAAACTAGACCACGTACAAACTAGACCACGTACAAACTAGACCACGTACAAACTAGACCACGTACAAACTAGACCACGTACAAACTAGACCACGTACAAACTAGACCACGTACAAACTAGACCACGTACAAACTAGACCACGTACAAACTAGACTACGTACAAACTAGACCACGTACAAACTAGACCACGTACAAACTGTACCACGTACTGAAGAGGAACGTCTAATGTAGAAAGATGCCGCATGATTTAAAAATGTACACTAGTAAATATATAGTATATATAATATAGTATATAATTAGAGTTGTGTTCAACAGTTTTAATAGACTCAGTAGAATATACAATATATAAAACTGCTTAATGGATAAAACAGATAGTGAGTATGCACACCTTATCAGCAAGCTGTGAGATAATTTAAACATACAGTAAGATTGGTCAACATGCTGAAAAAATAGTATTGCTTGCGCACAAGTCGAATAATTTTCCGGCTGGAATGGGAATCCCGCTAATTCAGTATGATAACTGAGTCGTATTGGCCGCAAGCCTTGCAAGTTTGTTATGTAGACTGCATGTATGTAGGGTGTACCACAGAAAGTGTGACTTTTTTGAGAAATGATACAAAATATTATGAAGGAGCAGTTGCTGAAAACTATTCATCACATTGTGTCAATATGTTGTGCCGAATTTATTTTTTTTTTTTTTTGGAAAACAAATAGAATAATATATAACAATATAATTTACAACAATGTATATCGACCAGATTTGAATCATCAATTAATTGAGTCCATAGGACTCATAATTAGCTAAGCTTTGATACAAAGCATGCGAACTCAAAGTCGCTTTCACAACTTTTGTCAACTGAATTGACAGAAGATCTGGTTCCTCTTATACACAGGAGAACCAGCTTCCTGATAATAAATGAAAGTTTACATCTTAAAAAATTGTGCCGAATTTATGCATACCAAGTTGCAAGTCCCTATCAATTTTTGATTTCTCACAAATTGTTATTCTGGTATGGTGCTACCTCAGGAACTTAATCTTGCTGTAATTAAGGGGCCTTTTCGAAATCAACATTTTCGTTGTTTTTGATAGAAAAGAGTAATCTCTATCAGTTGCATTTGGTCCTGTCAAAAAATGTGAATGTAAACTGTATGTACATAGTACATTGTACATTGTACATAATTACTGGTGCATACAGCAACTCACGCATATGGAGTAATAGCAGTTAGCACAGTACTTGTGCCGGGTACTTGCTTCTATTGGTTAACACAAGTTGATATGACAGGTGTACCCTCTTACTTCTTATATACTATGAGTATAGGTACGTGAGGTATCTCAGTCTTCAGATACTATCAAGAAATCTATTTGATACAAAATGGAATATATTGTGCATCATTCATTTTAGGTACCCACTAATAACAATTAACCAACATTGTATATATATATTTTGGTCTTGTGTAATATATTTTGTCTTGTGTAAATGTAATTGTGATACATTTAGGTGAACTTTATTTGAATTCTGAAATGAAAAATGTTATGTTTCAGATCAGACTGAAGGAAGCTCGGTTTATTGGCCTATTTGTACTGATGAGAGCTCTAAATAACGCCCTGCTCTTCATTTCTCCTATCTTCTCTCTTATGATCATAATCACGGTGGGTTTCACAATATTTCCTTGTGCTGTAGTAATATTATAACTATTTCTTATATAGTTATATAGGCCTCTCAGCTCCCGGTCCTTCGATTAGAAATTGACAATCATCCAGGTGCTATGATTTTAACAAGTTCATCAATCAAACCGTATTTGACCTTTTTCAAATCTGTGATGACTGGAGGATATCACAGTAATTACAATGATAATCAGAACACTCTGGTTCTCCTCAGGTCTTATCTTATCTCCTCAGGTCTTATTTTATCTCCTCAGGTCTTATCTTATCTCCTCAGGTCTTATCTTATTTCCTCAGGTCTCATCTTATCTCCTCAGGTCTCATCTTATCTCCTCAGGTCTTATCTTATCTCCTCAGGTCTTATCTTATCTCCTCAGGTCTTATCTTATCTCCTCAGGTCTTATCTTATCTCCTCAGGTCTTATCTTATCTCCTCAGGTCTCATCTTATCTCCTCAGGTCTTATCTTATCTCTTCAAGTCTTATCTTATCTCCTCAGGTCTCATCTTATCTCCTCAGGTCTCATCTTATCTCCTCAGGTAAAAAGAAGCATTGGAGAACTTATCACAACTTCACAGATACTCTTTGTGTTATCTCTACTTACCACCGTCCGTGTTTACATCAACATATTTCTGGGACATTCCTTCACTTTCGTCCCTCAAGTCATTCACAGTCTCCGCAGAATCCAGGTTATTTTATTAATGATGATTGTTTTGTTTTAGTTTCAATAGACACGATTTACAAATCTGGTAATTTTCGGAATTGTTCAGAAATCTCGACTGTCTGTTCCACCAATAATATGAGTTGTATGACGAATAAAATCCTAGACTAGTGTATTTATCAGTTAGCTCACTAAGTAACTAGATAAGAACTAAGAAGTCTTACCTCACTAGAGATGAATTACATTACGATGGGTTCGCTCATACAGCAGTGGCGTAACGTTGCCTGTTGGCGCCCCCCTGCCGAAAAGGCGCCCCCCTGTTGGCGCCCCCTCCCCTTTTGGTGCCCCTCCCTAAAATTGAACAAATTAGGTGATTTTAGAGGATACGCCGGTAAAATCTCTAAAAAAGTGTGTATCTAGAGCAAAACGCGCAGTTTTGCTAGTACTTTAGTTAAGTTTTCGAAATTGTCCCACATTCAAACGACGATTTGGCGCCCCCCTAAGACGGCGCCCCCCTGCACAGCGGGGTCAGCAGGGCCCTTCGTTACGCCACTGTCATACAGATAATACTGGTATTGAATTTTACCATTTTATTTCAGTAAATCAAATAATCAATGTATTAAAAACTTGAATTTTGATTTATTTTTACACCCTTTTTGAAAATCAGGAATTCCTGAATGCTGACGAAGTAAAGCATCTGCAAAAGAAAGCGGCCATAATGAACTTGAAAAACGAGATAATAGTGAATAAGAACTTCTTACATAAAGATGAAAAGGGTTTACATAAGAATGGTATCAGTGGTAAGAATGGTGAGTGTAACTCAATGTTAGTTTCTGATTTTTCTACTTATCCAACTATTTTGAAGATTGTGCTGTGGGCTGGTAGACTGTGTGGTTGACCCTTTTTTATCCGATTGGGGGACATTATTCACAGTTTTGAAAAGAAGACATCTACTAGGTTAAAAAGGAGTAGTTTAACTTTACGGCACGCGCAAAGCTTGTGTTTGTACAATAATAATCCAATAAAATATTTAGTGTAATCGAAATTATATGACGCGCGGAACACGCGCATGCACTTTAAAATATGTTTTTATGACGTGGTAGATCATACAAATTCGCCCTTATTCATCACCACGTACAATAAGAAAAGTCTAGAATCATACCCATGAGTGAATGAGTCATGACTACAAACATTTTATTTCATCCAGATCACCTGACCGAATGTTATGAGGACGCTATCACTATAACCAATCTCTCGTCCAAATGGGGACCGGATACCTTTTCTTTAACAGGTAACTTAACCAGCATGTCGTTTGTAATTTAGAAGATGCATTAGTAATTAGTTGTAGATAACGATGGTTTGTATTGTGCGTCCAACGTGGTCCAGGGAGGATAATGATTTCAGCAAACAAAATTATAACATTGACTCTTAACCCACGCTATAACATGGAATATATCAAAACACTGTATTGAATACAGAAGTTTTTGAACAACAGATTGCAATAATATAAACTATCAAGTATAAATTATGTGTCTGTAACTATACTATATCAGGGTTGAATCTAAGTGTAAAAAGAGGAGAACTGATAGCAGTGGTGGGACCGGTTGCTTGCGGCAAAACAACGCTCCTTATGTCACTCTTGCAAGTTAGTAATTCAGAGGATCTACTTACCTAACTAGCTTTTTTGAAAATATTAACCGCTATTCTTAATGTTTTAATTCAACATATCTGGACTGACCGTCTCAGATTGTATTTTGAAACCTCCGATTTTCCAAAAGATAAAATGTGAGATTGAATGGCTCGTTTTGACTTGTAAAAAGATAACGAACAGTTGTTTTACATGTTTTACTTTATTTATGAGGGTACGTTTTTCCCTCAATTTATAATCAGAAAGCTAAGAAGAGGAATTTAAAGCTACGCTGATTACAGGAATTAGACAATGACGGAGGACTTGTTCTACATGGCAGTATTGGTTTCTCATCTCAAGTACCGTGGATCTTCAACGGTATAAAGACTTGTAAACTTGTATATTAAAACGATTTCTGACTATTCAATATATTACACCGTTCCCTTTGATGGTATATCACAACTCACACTGTATTACCTCAGGTAGTATTGAGGATAACATCGTGTTTAACCGAGCCCATGACAAGGAGAGACTGAACAGAGTTATAGAATCTTGCTACCTGGAGAGAGTATGTTGTTCTGTAGGGTGACTGTAGGTTAACCGTTAACGCTTTGTGGGATGAGATATCGCATCTGCAAAAGTGATATCTAACACCATTTCAAACTGCGATTATTCCGAGGCACTATTTCTAGGACATCATCTGCATTTAGTGAAGTTGTTTGGCATAGGAATCGTGATATACATTGCACGAGTCAATTAAAACAATTTCACTGTATTACATACCCCCTTACCTAACAGAAAAATATTTGCAGGATTTGGAATTGTTCTCCAAAGGTATTTACACGTTAGTGGGGGAGAGAGGTGTTCAGTTGAGCGGGGGCCAAAGAGCTCGAGTTAACCTTGCTAGAGCTGTTTATGGTACGAGTCTAAAGCCGTAGTACATACATATTACATTACACTGGATGAGCTTACACAGTGTAATTTCTTCCAGTCTGCGCCGCGCGCATATACAAACGTAGGCGGCGCAGACTGAAGGAAATTACACTGTGTAAGCTCCAGTGTAATGTAATATGTATGTACGAGTCTGACTATTCATCTTCCTAACGAATTTTGTTCTAGCTGTTCACCTATGACTTCTCATCGTGCTATAATACTGAATTTTGTTGTAAACTTTTTGTGCCAGAAATGTGTAACTTTAAGAATCACTAACTTCAGGGGAAGATGAGATTATTTTGTTGGATGACCCGCTAAGTGCGGTGGATAGTCGTTGTGCGAAACACATCTTCAACACCTTAATCAAGGAGCAACTATCCGACAAAACTCGAATTCTAGTGACACACGCGACCAACTTTCTGAGCGAAGTTGATCGAATAGTCGTCATGGATACGGAGGTTGATGGCGACGGGGACAAATCTACCTGTTCCGGAAAGATTACCGATGTGGGAACCTACTCAGAACTCACTGCAAAAGGTATTGTACTCACTGTGTATTATTGCCAGATCCCAGTTCAATTTGTAACGGAGTTTTATATTAACAAGAAACGATGTAACAGAGTCGATATATTTTAATGTTGCCATGGGGTGGCAAGTCCCCATACATCGTGGTCCGGTAGTTTTATTGCGTCTTAATATAGTCCACTGAAAGAATGCTGAATGTAATATACTCCTTCATAATATTAAACATTGAAAAACTGCTGAATGCTGATCATATATTTCTCAGGTCTGAATCTGTCTTTATATGGTGTAAGAGAGAAGAAAGGTAAACGTAACAGGACCCTGTCCAAGATATCAAAGCTGTCTACTGATTCCGGACTCGACGAGGAGGATTCCGTATCTGATGAGGTTCTTTTCACTTTGATTGTCCATATTTTAATCTATCCTATTATTACTTAATTTGTATACTCTGGCAATGAAAAGTTGGCCGCTAAATCTCCCAATGACCATTATTAGCATTATACCTTGCAATTTCGGGCAGATTTCTTCAGCTATGAACAAAAGCTACATCTTATTCTGGTAGTAATCCTAATCAGGATACTTAATTTACAAGTTGGAATTTCAAAATGAAATCGCTGATGTTTTTAGATAGCTAACTATAAACCGGGCAGGAATCTGTAGCAGCAGAAAAGCCGGAGGAGGTGAAAGAGGAAAAGAAAAGTGGCTCATTGGATAAACGTATCTACTTTAGGTTAGGCTTTCAATGTATAATTATTGTGTTTCAATGGTGGACACTCGACAGTAATTACTGATAACTTGTTTTATCTTAACGCGGTATAAATTAATTGGAACAAGCCCAAAAACAAGTACCAAATCATCGACCCTATTTTGGTTTTCAAAGAATTCTATTATTGTTTTGTTCTTTGAGATGAACTAAGCCACTTCATCTTTTGTTTCAGGTACCTAGCCATGAACTAAACCACATCGTCTTTTGTTTCAGGTACCTAGCCGTGAACTAAACCACTTCATCTTTTGTTTCAGGTACCTAGCCATGAACTAAACCACTTCATCATTTGTTTCAGGTACCTAGCCGTGAACTAAACCACTTCGTCTTTTGTTTCAGGTACCTAGCCGTGAACTAAACCACTTCATCTTTTGTTTCAGGTACCTAGCCATGAACTAAACCACTTCATCATTTGTTTCAGGTACCTAGCCATGAACCAAAGTCCAAACCACTTCATCTTTTGTTTCAGGTACCTAGCCATGAACTAAACCACTTCATCTTTTGTTTCAGGTACCTAGCCATGAACTAAACCACTTCATCTTTTGTTTCAGGTACCTAGCCATGAACCAAAGTCCAAACCACTTCATCTTTTGTTTCAGGTACCTAGCCATGAACTAAACCACTTCATCTTTTGTTTCAGGTACCTAGCCATGAACTAAACCACTTCGTCTTTTGTTTCAGGTACCTAGCCGTGAACTAAACCACTTCATCTTTTGTTTCAGGTACCTAGCCATGAACTAAACCACTTCATCATTTGTTTCAGGTACCTAGCCATGAACCAAAGTCCAAACCACTTCATCTTTTGTTTCAGGTACCTAGCCATGAACTAAACCACTTCATCTTTTGTTTCAGGTACCTAGCCATGAACTAAACCACTTCATCTTTTGTTTTAGGTACCTAGCCATGAACCAAAGTCCAAACCACTTCATCTTTTGTTTCAGGTACCTAGCCATGGGACTAGGCTACATGGCACTACCAGTATTACTGATATCTATAGTAGCTCCCCAAGTTCTAGTCTTGTACCAGCAGCAATACGTCATCGACTGGTTAGTTGTACTAATTATTATACAAATTATCCGGGATGATATTAAGGTACCGCGACAATTGACCCCCCGACAATTGACCCCCCGACAATTGACCCCCTATGTAATTACACTGGGGTCAATTGTCGCGAAATCTAGGGTTTAGTACGACAATTGACCCCCCGACAATTGACCCCCCGACAATTGACCCCCCGATAATTGTAATTAAACTGGGGTAAATTAGGGTCAGGGTCAGGGTCAGGGTCAGGGTCAGGGTCAGGGTCAGGGTCAGGGTCAGGGTCAGGGTCAGGGTCAGGGTCAGGGTCAGGGTCAGGGTCAGGGTCAGGGTCAGGGTCAGGGTCAGGGTCAGGGTCAGGGTCAGGGTCAGGGTCAGGGTCAGGGTCAGGGTCAGGGTCAGGGTCAGGGTCAGGGTTAATTGTATTAAATTATATTTTCGGGGGGTCAATTGTCGGGGGTCAATTGTCGGGGGGTCAATTGTCGGGGGGTTAATTGTCGGGGGTCAATTGTCGGGGGGTTAATTGTCGGGGGGTCAATTGTCGGGGGGTCAATTGTCGGGGGGTCAATTGTCGGGGGGTCAATTGTCGCCCACCCGATATTAAGTACCATATGGGCATCTATTTATGATTTAGTTGAGGATGAGTAATTTAACCAGACGGGACTAAATTAAATAGAAAATAAATGAAATTTTAATGTCCAGATAATACGGAATTCATCATTATCAAAAATTTTACTCGATTGAGTCGGAATCAAGAATCCTCTCATTCCTTTAACATCCAGTAATGCTTTTTTTAAATTCAATAAAGACTGAAATTTCGGTTCACGAAATCTCATCTTGAAAATGAGACAAAAAGGGGACAACACAATTCTTCCACTTTGTAATGTTTTCTCAGAGAAACTAACTTCCAGTACCTCAATTTGGTTTCATACCATCACCAATTAACTGACTAATTAGTCTCTGGGCAAAAAGTCCATCCAATCTGTCAAATTTGTGTTCAGAAATTTTCATATTTGAAAATGGGACAGAATTTGGAAAATATGGATTTTTGTTTTGTTAAGCTTTCTGCAGTGAGCTTCCTCCGACCGAAATCAAACTTCCGTCACTTCAGAAATGGGAGAATATAATTTTCCATCTTGTAATGTAACATATTGTCTATTTAATCTTCCAAATTATCTTAACTTAACTGTAACACAATTTGCTTTAAAATTTGCAGGAGTACTCCAAAAGATGACAGTGATAGGTATTTTACACATGTGCTCATTACGCTAAAACATTCAATGATTGAATTATCTTTATGTAATATAGCTTCATGTAACATAGCTGATTAAATTCTATCATAATTTTGTGTCCTTTTTAAAGCAGTTTGATTTTAAATAAAGCAATTTGGTTTCTTTTTCCTCTCTTTTTTCATTGAAACCTTCTTCCTCGGATCTGCCAATACCGTACTTCTAGAATAATTTCCAACATTTCACTTTATATGATGTTGCTTGGGCTGTGTCGCTTGTGTGAGGGTGTTGAAGGTCTGTACTATCATACATAGTAATGGTCTCTTCTCTATTATCATACACTTAGCCAGCGCCACCAACAAGATGCAATGATTGAGATTTGCGGGTGTCAGTATGTCAGGGTGTCAGGGTGTCAGGGTGTCAGGGTGTCAGGGTGTCAGGGTGTCAGGATGTCAGGGTGTCACATCTAGACCTCCTCCCATTTCACATAATGGCTTTAGAACATTTTTTTTTTAGAACATTTGAATATAATTTGAAACATTACAGAAATGTTGTACAAATCGCTCAAACACACACACTAGGTCTTAATTCGGTTAAGTTCCAATCGAAAATTAAATGATTCTCAAAATGTAGGTGTCTAATGAAAATGTGATACTGTGTGACAAAGTTAAGAATGTCTTAGTGAAAGAGAGTTAACTGTCGATAAATTCATGTGAGGTACTATCGAAGTTCAAAATGTTGTGATGGGTGACATGATAATGACTGATAAGAAAAAGTTTTCATGTCAACTGTGCCATAATCCAGAACAGTGTGATGACTGTCAAAGTGTCGACCACTAGGTACTTGGACGAACAAGTGTACCCGAGGTGTTCTGAGATGGCATGCTCGGGAACACGAACGCGCGCTAGTCGCTAGGGCAAAAAAAGAAATGCACAGTAAGCAAGTTAAAAAAAAGGAAAATTAAAATGCCGTTTGGGCCAAATGCAGTGAGCCAGTAAGGTGCGGTCGTAGGAGCAAGTGGCTCTGAAGACTAAAACTGATGAGACTGTGAGGCTGATACTGAAAATGAAGACTGAAAGGGGGGAAGCAAAGGAGAAGGAAAGGATGCAGGGGGACAAGAAAAAAGAAACAAGAGTGGAGACAAACCACCTGCTGAGGTCTGGCTAAAATCAGAATGCAGTGAGCGGCCCGTGTAACAAAATCGTCCGTGGCAGTCTACCCCGTACGCAGACTACGGTCCAAGATTTCAGGCGCCAGAATACACCTTTTGGTGCAGAGCTGGTCACGACCAGGGTCCTCTCGGATACCCCGTCTCGGAGGTCGGGCCAATGGAGCGATCCATTGCTGTACTAACAACCATTGTAACCCTATCACTCTGAAGGCCCCACAGTTCCTACATGGACGCACGGCCGGAAGCCCATGTAGGGACGGAAAGTCCCAAGAGTCGCTCATAGCATCCGTCACAGATCCAAAGCAGAAGGAGAAGGAAAGAAAGAACGAGAAAAGCAGAAGAGAGCTGGCTGAAGGACTACTTTCCATCTTCATCACGAAGGCTGTCTTTGTGCTTGAGGTTCAGACTGTACATTTCTCTGATGGTTGAGCATGAAAGTCTAATCAAGTTCACATCCTGCTCGTTAAGGTTACCGTAAAGATCTTCGGTACGAGAGAGAGTGTTGACAATGTTGTTCAGTCCGTTGTCATTGCTGTTTCCCAAGCTTTCACTAGCTCTGGTAAACTTGTCTCTGATAGCCTTCCCTTGTGGGCAGGAAGTGAGAAAGTGTGTTTCATCCTCTATGATCCCGGTTGATCCTTTCAGTTCACAAAAGGTGCAAGTTCTGCTCTCTAGAGGTGTTTTGTCGTATCTCCCAATTTCTATGCTGAGTCTGTGAGAACTGCACCTTATTTGAGCTGTTGATCTTCTGTCATTGAGAGTTCTTGCATAATCGAGGTAATATAATAAGGCTCCCATGCAAAGACTGTTTTGACGTCCTTGTAGAAAGTGAGTTTCCTGCTCTCGTTAATCTTTGATCTCCAGGAGTCTGTAAAAAGCTTTTGAAAGTTATTTACCAGCTCGTCTGGACTGCAAGCGTCTGCAAACGCAGTTGCGTTGAGTAGAAGCGAAGAGTTCCTTGCATATGTTCTAGGATCAATGTTGTTGAAGCACTTGATGATGTTTTCCATTCCAGAGTACCACGAAAGATGCAAGTTTATTTGCTCAGATTTGTAGCTTAATTTCTACGGGCATCATTTAATTGATTTTATCTGGGGGATATTGGGAAATAATTCAGTTTGTTGATAATGTCTTGATGTCTAAGTTTAAGTTAAATTCGTGTATTAGAATGTCTAAGTTAAATTCGTATATTACAATGATTTTACTGAATAGGGTTGATCTCCTGGGAAAATCGATATTCGTTATTGCATGAGTACTCAAGCTAATAACTATTCAAATGCTGGTCACATTTTTGTATTCAGGTTACTAACATTTAAAAGCTAAATAGGTTGCCATGACAACACGTTAGTTCTGAATGACAAGAAACGGCACCTAGTACATTAAGGATAACCATACCTACCTATTGAACCTATTGAAAGTTTTAGAAGTGGGCATCTTCACGGTCATCTGACTAGTATGACAACTAGTCTGTTTAGCTTGACCCCACACCCATCACCAGGCTGGACTACAAATATGAAGATGGAGTTAACTCTACATCTGATGAACTTGACCGATACGATCAAACACATTACGAGATATATCTTGGATTAGGGTTCACCGCAGCCTTTCTTTACCTCTTCAAGGCTTTCTTCTTCATCTTCGTTGTCAACAGGTAACACTTCTACCAGGATTCTTTTATTTTCTTTTTTTTTCTTTTTTTAAATTTTTTTAATGTATATATATTTTTTTATATGAATATTCCCGCCATCAGCAAAACCAACCCTGATGATTTGAGCCATACTGATGAGTCCTAATAGGACGAAACAATGTCTCTATGGATATTTTTATATATATATTTATATAATATATAATATTTATTAAATTAGAAAGAATGCTACAACCTGCTATTTTACTTAGCATAACCTTAAGCTAACTGTGACTGTTGATGATTATTCAGTTTAAATAATGGTTGGTATTGGTTTCAGAGCCGGAAGACTGCTGCACAACAAGGCTTTGTTCAGTGTTCTGAGATCTCCAATGCGATACTTCGATACTCATCCGATAGGTATGCTCATCAACCAACTTCTTAACTTCTCAGTGGTATTCTTTGTTATCTGACTCATTTTTTACCATGAAATAATATAAAAATAACAGAATTTGCTGTTCAGGTATCATCATCAACAGGTTTTCTAAAGACACCTACTTCATGGACGAGCGTTTTCCGGATGTTTTGCTTGAATTCCTGGGACTCTTCATCCTTTACACTGGTTTACATATACATATTTTAAAGTTTATTCTGTCGTAACATTATGTGATAAGGAATATTAAGTTGACTGGAATAGTTTACGATGATAACCTCCCATCTTTTCAACTCAAAATAGTTAGCTTAGCATCGTTAAAAAGAGGATGGAACTCACTTTATCGAGGTTTAACGCAAAATATTTCAGCAACCATAGGACTGATACTCTACGCTAACTACTGGTTCATCCTAGCTTTAATCCCTATCTTGATCTTAATGGGATTCACTATACGGTACTACTTGGGGACCTCCGTAGAGATAAGAAGGATAGAGGCTATAAGTAAGCTCATTTTAATTATATAAGTAAGCTTATTTTAATTAAAATAGAGGATATAAGTAAGCTTATTTTAAGTAAAATAGAGGCTATAAGTAAGCTTCTTTTAATCAAAATATAGGCTATAAGTAAGCTTATTTTAATTACATAAGTAAGCTTATTTTAAATAAAATTTGAACTAATTGTTATTCTATAATGTCTCTTTGCCTTGAATTAGAATACTAGGAATACAACCACGGAGAAACTTCGATTAGAGACACTAAGTTTTAAGATTTTACCAAAGTTCCGGTAAATTTACCTTTAATGAGTATAGATGAAGTTCTGAAGCTGATAATTTTCAGAAAGAAGTCCTATTCTGTCGCATATCTCAGCTACTTTATCAGGACTTACCACTATCCGCGCAAATAATCAGGTATGCTGACTTTACTCTGTGAGATTCCATATCTTTACTGGACTAAGATGAAATTTAAGTTTCTCATGATTTCCTCTCTATCGGATGCTCAAGTTCGTAAGGCCATTTAAAAGCATTAGGATTTGTTATTTACCAACTGGTGAGTTTCATGAATACTTATTTAAAGTTTCAAATTTTCAATATAACAATCGGTTCTTTTGCGATAGTCAAAACGCGACAACTAGCGCTGGATGGCGACTATCCAGCGCTAGTTGTCGCCATCCAGCGCTAATTGTCGCTATCCAGCGCTGGTTAACGCTATCCAGCGCAAAATATAAATTGTCGATAACTAGCGTATCCCAGCGCTAGTTGTCGCCATCCAGCGCTAGTTATCGCGTTTTGACTATCGCAAAAGAACCTAACAATCTACATACAACATAATATGCAGATTCAATAACAACCACCCATTTCCAGATAGATATATACGAAGCAAAACATTACCTAGCTCGGGATGAGCACACCAGATGCTGGATGCTGTTTGTGGCTGCTTCCCGCTGGTTCGCCCAACGGATAGACTTCATCACAGTAATAGTATCTGTAGTAGCCACCTTCCTGACGGTATCACTGCGGGATCACATGGGGGCTTCAATAGCAGGGTTAGCACTTGTTTATGTGAACAGTATGATTGGAGGAGTACAGTGGTGTGTCAGGCAGTTCACTGAGACAGAGAACATGGCAACTGCTATTGAGAGGGTGTTGTCTTTCACTGATCTGCCCTCAGAAGCACCGCTAGACCCCCCGGAGAAGTCTCCGTACAGTGTGGAGGTTATCACTAATATACGTGTTAACAGCGGAGTTATAGAGTTTAGGGATGTTAAACTCAAGTATGATCCTGAAGGTGATGATTATGTGCTGCATGGAATGTCCTTTTTAACTAAACCAGCAGAGAAGATTGGTATTGTGGGTCGTACTGGTGCTGGCAAAAGTTCCATTCTGCAAGCGTTGTTTAGAATGGTGGAACCTGAGGGTGAGATACTGTTGGATGGAATGTTGACCAGCGAGATGGGACTACATCAGCTGAGAAAGTCCATCAGTATAATCCCACAGGAGAGTCTGCTCTTCTCGGAGACTCTGCGGATAAACCTGGACCCGTTCTCTGAGTTCACCTCGGAACAGTTGTGGGATGTACTGGAGAAGGTGGAGCTGAAGGTGTATGTTGCAGCACAGACCGGGGGGTTGGAGATGATGGTCCAGGAGGGAGGTGGGAACTTGTCTGCTGGTCAGAGACAACTGTTGTGTCTTGCTAGGGCACTCCTGAGGGATAACAAGATCCTGGTTATTGATGAAGCTACTGCAAATGTTGATGAGGTAAGAGGTCCAGCTGTGTTATACTAATTGTGTCGTTAGAATAGGGTGAAAATGGAAGTGAAAGTGAAAGTGATTGCACAATTCTCCAATTGGTTGTAAAAATATTTGATAAATTTTATTTGACTATCTTGTAAACATAAATTGGCTTTTATATTTATATTTAAACTGAATTTCCCCAATAACTTCTGATATGCACATTAATTTGCAGAAAACAGATCAACTGATCCAATCAACACTCCGGGACAAGTTCTCGGACTGCACTGTGCTTACCATCGCCCACAGAATTAACACTATCATCGACAGCGACCGAGTGATGGTCATGGACGCTGGGTTACTAGTTGAGTTTGATCATCCTGCGGTCCTGCTTAAAAACTCTGACAGCATTTTCTATGACCTAGTTAAGGAGACTGGTATGTTTGATGTACTGGTGGAACAAGCAAATTCTAGTTTTAATAACAAATCAGAAGGTAATCAAGCAGGTTGCTTAGATTCAGATGCTTTTACCGATGTTCCCATTTAGATCTGTTTACAAACAGTTCTATTAAGTTTTATCGCTTATTATTTTTGATTAAACATTTTTTGATTTTTTAATTTTTAATTATCATATTCTATGGTTGTTTAAAACTGTTTGTATAAATTATTTTTTAGTGATTATCATATTTGATTTTTGAGGTATTAGGGCCGGAGAGAAGAATATTTGCCGTTGTCCCTCATATCAGATCACTTCCGGCTGCCCAATACCCCTAGGAATCGGTCACATATCAGATAATCAAGACATAATCCTCTTTCCATAAACTTAAAACTTAATCACGCAGCGTCTTATTTTGGGGCGCCTCCTCGACTGATTACATGATATGTGCACGACAGTTTTCATTATTTTTGTATGCTGACTTTAACATTTGTTACAATGATGTATGATCAATTATAGTTAGCCAGATTCTAAACCTTCTGTTTTCTTTTGATTCCAATAAACAAAATTACCGTTATTCGACAATTCGATATTTCGATCATCATAGTTGTGGACACAACAAGAAAATTGAGAATAATCTTGTGCGAGGGTAGGGACCCAGATGTCGTTTCTAACCCAAATAAACTTTAAGGAGGCTTCTCATCAGTAGCCGCACCTCCTTACTCGGTTTCTGAACTGGAATTCTATGGGCTTCCAGACGGCCAGACCGAGTATTACCAACCCATCCTTCTAGAGTTCATCACAAGTAGCACCCACCTTGAAGATCTTTGACACCCAGACACACCCCATTGGCGAACAAACTTTGGATATAATCTTACATGCTCCCGAAGGAATCCCTGGTTTATGGTCTTTCTCATCGTCACCAGCACTTTCACTAGGTCACCAGCTCTTTCACTGAAGTCATCAGCCCTTTCACTGAAGTCATCAGATGTGACTCTGATCAACGGTATAGTTGTGGACACAACAAGAAAATTGAGAATAATCTTGTGCGAGGGTAGGGACCCAGATGTCGTTTCTAACCCAAATAAACTTTAAGGAGGCTTCTCATCAGTAGCCGCACCTCCTTACTCGGTTTCTGAACTGGAATTCTATGGGCTTCCAGACGGCCAGACCGAGTATTACCAACCCATCCTTCTAGAGTTCATCACAAGTAGCACCCACCTTGAAGATCTTTGACACCCAGACACACCCCATTGGCGAACAAACTTTGGATATAATCTTACATGCTCCCGAAGGAATCCCTGGTTTATGGTCTTTCTCATCGTCACCAGCACTTTCACTAGGTCACCAGCTCTTTCACTGAAGTCATCAGCCCTTTCACTGAAGTCATCAGATGTGACTCTGATCAACGGTATAGTTGTGGACACAACAAGAAAATTGAGAATAATCTTGTGCGAGGGTAGGGACCCAGATGTCGTTTCTAACCCAAATAAACTTTAAGGAGGCTTCTCATCAGTAGCCGCACCTCCTTACTCGGTTTCTGAACTGGAATTCTATGGGCTTCCAGACGGCCAGACCGAGTATTACCAACCCATCCTTCTAGAGTTCATCACAAGTAGCACCCACCTTGAAGATCTTTGACACCCAGACACACCCCATTGGCGAACAAACTTTGGATATAATCTTACATGCTCCCGAAGGAATCCCTGGTTTATGGTCTTTCTCATCGTCACCAGCACTTTCACTAGGTCACCAGCTCTTTCACTGAAGTCATCAGCCCTTTCACTGAAGTCATCAGATGTGACTCTGATCAACGGTATAGTTGTGGACACAACAAGAAAATTGAGAATAATCTTGTGCGAGGGTAGGGACCCAGATGTCGTTTCTAACCCAAATAAACTTTAAGGAGGCTTCTCATCAGTAGCCGCACCTCCTTACTCGGTTTCTGAACTGGAATTCTATGGGCTTCCAGACGGCCAGACCGAGTATTACCAACCCATCCTTCTAGAGTTCATCACAAGTAGCACCCACCTTGAAGATCTTTGACACCCAGACACACCCCATTGGCGAACAAACTTTGGATATAATCTTACATGCTCCCGAAGGAATCCCTGGTTTATGGTCTTTCTCATCGTCACCAGCACTTTCACTAGGTCACCAGCTCTTTCACTGAAGTCATCAGCCCTTTCACTGAAGTCATCAGATGTGACTCTGATCAACGGTATAGTTGTGGACACAACAAGAAAATTGAGAATAATCTTGTGCGAGGGTAGGGACCCAGATGTCGTTTCTAACCCAAATAAACTTTAAGGAGGCTTCTCATCAGTAGCCGCACCTCCTTACTCGGTTTCTGAACTGGAATTCTATGGGCTTCCAGACGGCCAGACCGAGTATTACCAACCCATCCTTCTAGAGTTCATCACAAGTAGCACCCACCTTGATCATCATAGAAATAGCCTTAAATTAATTTCATAAATCTCATAATATTGCATAAATAATTTATCACTGAATCAGACCAATACAAAACATCAAAGTGGCCATTATTAAGCCTATAAAAGCTATTCGACTTTGTCTGACAAAGTAAATTTAATCGCCTAATAAAGTTTTTAAATAAATTTGTTTAAGGAATGAATTTACATTTTTTATCGGCCGTATTTAAACAAACGAAAATTGCAAAAAATTAGAAAATCAATCAACAAGTGGCCATTCTGGGTGGATTGACCAGTGGCGACCTTTATCTGCTTTAGGTTGGCAGAATATGGCACCTTGGTGGAATACCCCGCTGCTTTTAGCCTCTTTAAGAGCTTTAGCCAGTTCTACTCTTTCTGCCGCTCTGAAGATTAGGTTTATATTAGACACTCAGTGATTTACAGTCGACACAGTGTACACACCCTCACTAAGAATCAATGTAAACAGTCAAACCCCTACCATGTTAACATACAGTGGCAACTTGTACGAACACCGATGGGACAGTAAGACAACATTAAGACAACATTAAGACAACAATAAGACAACATTAAGACAACATTAAGACAACAATAAGACAACGTTAACGCAACAAACACCAATAAGACAACAAACGATAAGACAACATTAAGACAACATTAAGGCAACATTAAGGCAACATTAAAGCAAACATTAAGACAACATTAAGGCAACATTAAGACAACATTAAGGCAACAATAAGACAACAATAAGACAACAATAAGACAAGATTAAGACAACAAACACCGATAAGACAACAAAATAGGATAAAATATTAAGACAACATTAAGACAACATTAAGACAACATTAAGACAACAAACTCAATTAAGACAACATTAAGACAACATTAAAACAACAAACTCATTTAAGACAACATTAAGACAACAAACTCGTTTAAGACTACATTAATGCAACAAAATGTTTAGAATATGTAATATACGGCCGTGATTTCATTGCCGCAGTACACAGATTTTTGAAATTATCTGTTAAGATACTTTGGACTGCTAGTTAAAAGTCGGAAATTTAAATTGATGCTTAATTGATTTAAATGAAATAACTGGTTTACAATATAATGATGATAAATTGATACTGAAATAACTGGTTTACAATATAGAATAAAACAAATATCTTAATAACGAGTTTTAGGCTTTAGGGCGTTTCCTTGAGCATAAAGGCGTGTTAGGTCTCTATGTTTTCTGTTGCAGATATCTTTTGCCGCTGGGTATACGGTTTGGAGCGTTACTTTACGTAGCTGCAGGAACGAGCTCTCAAGGGATTGTCTGTCCACGAGTGCTGCTTCTGCAATGCACCTTTTTCTGTAGAAGTGCGATCGACAAATGCCTCTTTCTTCTAGGACTGTTGAAAGAGATTTCCCGTTGATGGTCAAGTTGAGTATTGTCCTGTATTCAACCAAAGCTCCGTCAATGCTGATGTTCCTCACTCGTGTCCGACGAGCTGCTGGAGGAGGTGGTGTATTTGGGGCTGCGGGAGGAGGGGTCGCCGGAGCTGCAGGAGGAGGGGTCACTGGAGCTGCTGGAGGGGTCGCCGGAGCTGCGGGAGGAGGGGTCGCCGGAGCTGCGGGAGGAGGGGTCGCTGGAGCTGCTGGAGGGGTCGCCGGAGCTGCGGGAGGAGGGGTCGCCGGAGCTGCGGGAGGAGGGGTCGCCGGAGCTGCGGGAGGAGGGGTCGCTGGAGCTGCTGGAGGGGTCGCCGGAGCTGCGGGAGGAGGGGTCGCCGGAGCTGCGGGAGGAGGGGTCACTGGAGCTGCTGGAGGGGTCGCCGGAGCTGCGGGAGGAGGGGTCGCCGGAGCTGCGGGAGGAGGGGTCGCTGGAGCTGCTGGAGGGGTCGCCGGAGCTGCGGGAGGAGGGGTCGCCGGAGCTGCGGGAGGAGGGGTCGCCGGAGCTGCTGGAGCTGCTGGAGGAGGGGTTGCTGGAGCTGCTGGAGGAGGGGTTGCTGGAGCTGCTGGAGGAGGGGCTGCTGGAGCTGCTGGAGGAGGGGTTGCTGGAGCTGCTGGAGCTGCAGGAGGTGGCGGGGAAGCAGGATTGGATGCAGTTGAGGAAGTGGATGGAGCAGAAGACAGTCTAGGAGCTGGGGGAGGAATGCCAGGGAGGTTGAGTCGAGGTCGACGTGAAAGAGAGGTAGTAGGTCTAGAAGGGCGAGATGTTGAGGATGCATGAGCAAGGCAAGGGTCGATAGTAAGGATAATCTGATGGGTAAGAGGTTCATCAGAGTAGCCACTTCTGGCAACAAGGACGCAACTGGAGCATTTGAGTGAAGGAAGAGAAGGAGCGATGTAACTTGTCCTAGGACAGGAGGTCGCGACGTGTCCAGTAGAAGCACAATGGGCACACTTCGGTGCAGGAGTAGGTCGGCTGTAACGGGTTCCTCGTCTAGTAACCATAGCAGTTGTACAAAAGTCAGATGGATGTGATTAGTAAACGATTCAGATAACTGATATCGACTGTGAGTTCCATTCGTTTATATACTATATAACTACTGTTATGTCACATCTTGTTAGCGAGATCACTTCTCCTGGATCGCGTCATCACCATGGCTCACGTGACTTTAAATGACATCTGGCTCACTCAACTTTTTACGATGCATCACATGTCAAATCACCTCAGATAATAATGTAACATCTTGTTAGCGATTCTCAGATCGCAGCTTGTAATTGTACAGTTCACGTCATGACCAGATCGTGTGGTATTAATGAGGGCCGTTGTTCGTGTTCTTATGGAATGTGGTATTAATCGAACAGTTCACGTCATGACCAGATCGTGTGGTATTAATGAGGGCCGTTGTTCGTGTTCTTATGGAATGTGGTATTAATCGAACAGTTCACGTCATGACCAGATCGTGTGGTATTAATGAGGGCCGTTGTTCGTGTTCTTATGGAATGTGGTATTAATCGAACAGTTCACGTCATGACCAGATCGTGTGGTATTAATGAGGGCCGTTGTTCGTGTTCTTATGGAATGTGGTATTAATCGAACAGTTCACGTCATGATTAGATCGTTTGGTATTAATGAGGCCGATGTTCGTGTTCTGCTCACGTGACAAATAGTATTAATAGAGGCCATCAAACCAACACTTTATCTAACGATACAACATGAACTCCCTTCCCTCCTACGAAGAGCTAAGACGCGGATCACTATCATCGGAAACGGAATGTCTACAGTACTGCTTGGATATCGGAATGCTGCGACCTTTCCAAACTTGTGAAGAGTGCAACAACTTTATGACCTTGAAGAAATGCCCAACGAGCAAGTACACAGACGGCTACTGCTGGCAGTGTTCAGACACTTCTTCAGACATCGACCACTTCTGCTCAGTGAGAACCGGGAGTATCCTCCACAAACGCAAGCTACCCTTCTCCGTATTCCTCCACATCATCTGGCTGTTCTGCAACCGACTGAGTGTCTGCGACGTAGCACGGATCATAACCATCAGCACCGGCTGTGTACGGTCCATCTTCTCCTCGATCCGAAATTGCATGCTTGAAGACCTGTTCGACAACGGTGCACGTAGAAAGATTGGTGGGGTCGGCTGTATAGTGGAGATTGACGAATCCAAATTCGGTAAACGAAAATATAACAGAGGTCGACGTGTAGTCGGAAAATGGGTGCTGGGTGGGTTCTGTAGGACTACTGGCGAATGCTTCTTAGTGGAGTGTACCGGCAATCGACGCGATCACAACACCCTAATCACACTCATCAAGGAGCACGTTCTACCGGGTACAACTATTCTCACCGACAAGTGGAAAGGTTATAACGCCCTGCAACACCACGGATTTCCTCATCAAGTTGTCAACCATAGTCGAGGATTTGTGGACCCGGTCACTGGTGTTCACACCAACAGCTGCGAAGGGATGTGGTTCCACGCTAAGAACCACATGCGAAGAGGAACCGGTCGTACCCGAACGGATTCAGCAGCCATGACTGTAGCCTTGTCAGAATTTATGTGGTGTAAGCGATACGGACTGACAAGAGACAACGCCTCCGTGAGGAAAGCCTTCAACCAAGATATCCCAGCCCTATTCAGAAGAATTTTTGATTAATTTATTGCTCTGTAGATTTGTATTACCTGATAAATAATGAGACCTAATTATTTCATTTTCAGAGTTTAAGTCACAATTTCGTATTACTCTAACTCAGTTGATGAAGTAAAATATAATTTGACAAAGTAAAATATATTCGAAGAAATAGTGTTATACTGTTATACATAATTTGTTGTCTTAAACGAATTTGTTGCTTTAATGTTGTCTTAATGTTGCCTTAATGATGCCTTAATGTTGTCTTAATGTTGTCTTATCGTTTGTTGTCTTATTGGTGTTTGTTGCGTTAATGTTGTCTTAATGTTGTCTTATTGGTGTCTTAATGTTGTCTTAATGTTGTCTTATCGTTTGTTGTCTTATTGGTGTTTGTTGCGTTAATGTTGTCTTAATGTTGTCTTATTGGTGTCTTAATGTTGTCTTATTTTTGTGTTAATGTGTCTTATTGGTGTCTTAATGTTGTCTTATTGTTGTCTTAATGTGTCTTAATGTTGTCTTACTGTCCCATCGGTGTTCGTACAAGTTGCCGCAGGTTCTGTATAAAGATTCATGATAATATGTACGTTTCAGTCATTGTTATTTTGTGAAACGATCAGGGAATATATTATTATCATTATACAAATAATTTTATTGACAACACCTTCAGTCTCTCATAAAGCATATCTACAAAAAGCTACTACAATAATAAGTTTGTAGGTTTATAACCTACCAATTTAATAGTCAATCAAATATCAATAGAATCAAACAATTACATTTGAAATTCTTATTTCACAAGTCTACTTCAAAACTCCTTTAAGAAGAGCGACGTTTCACAACCGCTATTTAATTTCAAGATCTTAAGAAAGTTATGACTAAATATTAAAAATTAACTTTTGATACGGCCCCTTTATTCTTTATTAACGGTGCTGTATAGTTTTTGTTATTTAGGCACGTACCGTGGTATTTGTTTGAGCTGAAAGCTTCCTACTTGAGTCCGCACTATTTAGCTAAGATCTAACTGATTAGAATTAATTTGGATCGATATCACGAAGTACTACTATTACAATAACGATCCAAATAAGTGTAACTCTGACTAGACTTTTAGAGAACTAGAAATAATTATGATGAATAATCTTTGAGAAAATGACCGTAGTTATACTGAAAACTGAGTTCTATCAAATTCATATTTGAGAATGGGAACTGGTCTCAAATGCAAACACAAATACAATCGATTGTTTAGTTCCTGAAGTGGTACCTGTTCAAGTTCAAAGTATGTGGTTTGCTCCGTGTCACTTTCGTTCATTCTTGTTTGCAGTTTACCAACTGTCCCTGCAGAGAGTAATGTGTTATTCGAAATTAAAATTAAAGTAATGTGTTATTCAATTAAGCTGAGTTTCACACAATCGCTCAAATAGAATAATACCTCATGAGACATGTATTAAATATTTATCATTATTGAGAGTTTACCTATTGAGACTTTCTAATGCCCACGTAATTGAATGAAAGTAACCCTATCGATACTGAGAATAACCAATTAATGCTTACCGTCTTGACATTTTTCTTTCCGTGGTCATGATTCCTTCAAGTTTCTTCTCTCTTCTGTTTTTCTAAAATTTTAGATAGCTTAATAACTGCCGTACCAACCCTTTTATCTTTTTATGCTTAAGCACAATGTACATTTTCACAACGAATTTGTTTATTTATCTAGAAACATGATTCCTGAATCAATATTTTACTTGTCGAGATTTTTGTATTTAAATAACACAACATTTATTGAACATTGTACTCACTGATCACCGCCATACTCTGCTAAATAATCAAACTTTTATTTGTAGGTTCGTATGATATCTATGGTAAGGAAAATAGCTAAAGTATTAACCTAAACCGATTCCAAAATTATTGAGTTGTTGCCAGATTTCGCGCCATTATCACAGTGCTGGCAAGCACGACCGTTGCATTTATTGTGGGTATACTATGTACCCCATTTACTATTATACCCCCTTTACTATTATACCCCCTTTACTATTATACCCTCTTTGGTACACGTTACAAGCCTCTTTCGTGCACGCGAAGCGTGCACTCCGGCCGGAAGCGGCGGCCGAAGGCCGCCGCCTCCGGCAGGAGTTTTTCAGACATTAAGACTCATCGGAAGTCGTTCAGCAGATTTATTTTAGTTCAAAACATTCTAATTTGATGTCAAAGATGACAGGAATAAAAAATAGTTATGTTGAGATTTTTAAGAAATTTGCATAAAATACTCGCCAGCACTGTTATACGAAATTCGGTAAAAAACCCAAAATCGCCATATTCAGGTGCTTTAAAAACCATGTTAAAATTGAGTTAGAGATCTGAAATTTTTCAGGGCGTCTAGACGTTGACCAAACCGACTGCAAAAAAAGTTTCAGGTTTCAGGAACATCGGGAAGTGGGTTTTCTAGAACCCCTGTTTTACGACAGATTGTCGTGATACATACATACATACTAGGTGGTGCACCATAAAAATAAACTTGCTCGGATTTTTAAAATTTTTGTACCATTGTTTTCTAGAGACTGTGAGAATTTTCACAATACCAAATTTGTCATACCTTTTTGGAAAGATCAGTGAGTTTCGCCTAGGTGCCATATTTGATGGTGCGCGGCTTTTGGAGCAAAATTAGCTGTAAAAGTCGCGTAATTTGACCAAATTTGACCAAATTCGTTGATTTTTGTCGTATTATTTAGATATATCTTCAGTTCCTTGAATGAGATCATTCTGAAAATTGGCGACGACCTTCCAATAGGGCTTTCACAACTGTCCGAAAAATTTGGTGGATATCGGAGTTGATATAGTGATCAAAATGGGGCAAAATACGCTGCTTTTAGCTGTAACATAATGTCTGATGGTTGGATATGCTATAAACTTTTCGGACACTTTCCTTGTAAGTCTATGAGTTAGCTTACCAATTTTTGTTGCAATCGGAGGTCGGGAAGGATACTTAATATCTATTTGTTTGAAGAAAATTGTGCTGGCCGAATTTAGCGCTAAAAAACCATCCTACAGTCGGCACGCGCGGCTCACTGTCGATGGCGCACTACCTATACATACATATACATATACATATATTCAAGGATAGACGCTTTGCCAGTCAATTGTAGCCTGTATTTAATTGTCCATAGATTCAAAAGTATAAAAGATACAGCCATTTCCGACCACAGATCTTGAAAATAATTGTTTACACTTTAGTTTACATTGTATAAACAAATTATTTGACGTCATGAACACCCTTTGATGACGTCATCAAGTTAACCGTTTTTAAAACTTGATTTTTGACAAAGTAATAACTTTTAAAAATGACTTTACACCATTAAAAAGTAATTGTATTCAAAATCTGAGGAAATTTTCACCTTAGATAATTGTTCAAGCATTCTGAAAATCTACCGGAAAGTTTTTCTAGCTTGCTCCTTCATAAAAATATTCGTCATTGAAGTTTGTGCTTTTTTGAAGAATTATTTTATAAAAACGTCAATTTTGCGATTTAGTATTCTCTGGTGTTGGGCCATGCCTTGAGTTGTGGAGCTCAGTTCTGCTTCCTATAGGTATAAATTGTGCATTAGGCTAGTTTTAAAGTTGAAAATCGAAAAGTTGCACACGTGGGGACACGCCCAAATTGATAGAAAATCGCTAAAATCACTGAAAATTGCTGTTTTCGTCATTTTCTGTCAACTTTAGAGTGCCGTTGTGATTACAATTTTTCTTGAAATACTTTGAAACTTTGCATGCTTATCAAACTATATATAAAACAATTACATGCAAAAATTTACGGCGATTCAATATTGGATGCGCACGCAACGTCCGCTCAAAGTTTGCACGCGCGAAAGGTGAGAATTTTGCTCATTCGTGATTTCCAACAAATTCTGCTTTGCCACGACAGTTTAATGTCATTATATATGAATTTAATGCCAACTTGAATGAGTATTAAGTGGCATATTCAGTCAGTGATCGACCGATATGCTTACCTAAACACAAGGAAATGTTATTAAAGGAAAAATTTCGAAATCGTTGAAACTTCCTCCTTATTAATGAAGATATCAGTTTATATTTCGACTTTATAAAGTACCTACCCTGACATTATAATCAAAAATAGATGATATTTGACCAAAACCCATAATCATGGGTAGAGTGGACCGCTGCCAGTGTCTCTCTTTCCCAAACAAAAGGAAATGATATTAATTTGATTGACCGTTCTCAAATGCAAAATGATACCGAGAATGAAATCGGTCACTCGCTTTTCCCATTCATTTACAATTGTAATAGACTAAGAAAAACTACCCAAAGGCAGCTGTACTCGGCAATAAAGATTCAATAAACTTCAGCAGTAGTAACTACCACCATTCAGGGATAGACGCTTTGACAGTCAAATGTAATTGTAGTCAATTGTATCCTAAATTTAAGTGTCCATAGATTCAAAAGTATAAAAGATACAGCCATTTCCGACCACAGATCTTGAAAATAATTGTTTACACTTTAGTTTATATTGTATAAAAAAATTATTTGACGTCATAAACACCCCTTGATGACGTCATCAAGTTAACCGTTTTTAAAACTTGATTTTTGACAAAGTAATAACTTTTAAAATTGATTTTACACCATTTAAAAGTATTTTTTTTATCACCTTAGATAATTGTTCAAGCATTCTGAAAATCTACCGGAAAGTTTTCTTATCTTACTCCTTCATAAAGATATTTGCCTTTGAAGTAAGTGCTTTTTTGAAAAATTATTTTATAAAAACGTCAATTTTGCGATTTAGTATTCTCTGGTGTTGGGCTATCCCTTGGGTTAGGTATAAATTGTGCATTAGGCTAGTTTTAAAGTTGAAAATCGAAAAGTTGCACACGTGGGGACACGCCCAAATTGATTAAAAATTGCTAAAATCACTGAAAATTGGTGTTTTCACGATTTTTATCAACTTTGGAGTCCCGCTGTGATCCAAGTTCTATTTGAAATCTTTTGAAACTTTGCACTCTTATCAAACTATATATAAAATACCGCTATGCAAAAATTTACGGCGATTCAGTATTGGATGCGCACGCAACGTCCGCTCAAAGTTTGCACGTGCGAAAGGTGAGAATTTTGCTCATTCGTGATTTCCAACAAACTCTGCTTTGCCACGACAGTTTAATGTCATTATATATGAATTTAATGCCAACTTGAATGAGTATTAAGTGGCATATTCAGTCAGTGATCGACCGATATGCTTCCCTAAACACAAGGAAATGTTTTTAAAGGAAAAATTTCGAAATCGTTGAAACTTCCTCCTTATTAATGAAAATATCAGTTTATATTTCGACTTTATTAAATACCCTGACATTATAATCAAAAAGAGATGATATTTTACCAAAACCCATAATCATGGGTAGAGTGGACCGCTGCCAGTGTCTCTCTTTCCCAAACAAAAGGAAATGATATTAATTTGATTGACCGTTCTCAAATGCAAAATGATACCGAGAATGAAATCGGTCGCTCGCTTTTCCCATTAATTTACAATTGTAATAGATTAAGAAGAACTACCCGAAGGCAGCTGTACTCAGCAATAAAGAATCAATAAACTTCAGCTAATTCACTAACTACCAGTACCACCCTTATCCCGAAATACTAGGTATATCGACCCGAACGCAACCCAAAGGAATTTTTACAACATGTGATTGATTGTAAGCCGTGAATGAATGGGAAAAGCGAGCGACCGATTTCATTCTCGGTATCATTTTGCATTTGAGAACGGTCAATCAAATTAATATCATTTCCTTTTGTTTGGGAAAGAGAGACACTGGCAGCGGTCCACTCTACCCATGATTATGGGTTTTGGTAAAATTATGTTAATAAAGTTTTGTTGACCAGACAGAATTATACTTATAGTGTGGAATGTTTGCAGCGCCTCATCGCAATCTCGAAATTTTTATTTTGCTTTGCGGTTTAGTTACCAAAGTAACTCGCGCTAACATATTCGAGAAATTCGCAGTACCTCTTCCTCGTGCATGACATATTATTATAATATTAATTTAAGAGTTTAAATAATAATCTTATTAAGTGGTTTTTAAGGTGTTAACTTACTTATGATATCACAAAGTGGTGCATCATAGACAAGGCCAACTATCTCTCCATCCATACACCTCGCTTTGCCTCTTTTGTTGATGAAGCCTGTTTCGCATTGTACCGTCATCAGTGTTCCATGTGCTACAGGAAGTCCAGGCTCCGTTGATACGACGTTTTTTAGGCTCAGTTCCTCGCAACCTTCGGTAGATATTATAATTTTAGAATGTCGTTTTTTTGCGCAACTAGTAAACTATCATGAAATATCGTCTTAATCTAATGTCACTTTAAAAAAATAGCTAAGTATAACTCATGAAGCTATGACATGATATAATTTGATAATTTCTTAATAATATCTGGAAAAGCAACTTAAAATTTATGACTTCAATAGACTACCTAATTTTGCGATGATCACTATTTCATTCACGTAGACAATGTCTAAGACATCTCCCTGCCTATTTATTTCTACAGTGTCCCCAAGTTTACACCCGGAGGGGACATAATCTCCAAAGACCGTGTTTTCATGGTACACTGTGAGGGGCAACCAATCACACCACCCTCCCTCACAGGTACACGAGTCTCTAGAGCAGGTGTGAGTGTTCTTCATGGACTCACGTGAGCCATAATAATGCACTACCTGCTTAATGCAGTGTTCCTTATCTAGAGACGCTCTAAACCAGGGCTTACTATCCCCTCCTGGTATTGCATAAGAACGGGTGCTCAGGTCCCTGTCTATAGCATTATCTGCTCCATACTTAGCCACGTCATTTTTATAAGTCGCAGACTGAGACACAGATGCAGGTACTATCTCTCCTGGTTCCTCCGGTCTTAGTGCACCTGAAGTAGTGAACACTTTAAGAGATTGTCACATTATAATTTATACCATTTTCAATCAGTCAAATTAAAGAAATAGTGTTGATTTGAATAAATTATAAAAACCAGCATTACATAATTACATAATATGTGTAATATGTATCCTGATTGATCAATTTGTTGTCTTACTTAAACCGAATGATATTGCTGTATAACCTCGTTAAAACGCACCTGACCACTATAATAAAGCGACGCGACGGACCTCGTTATAACGCGGTATTTGGGGTTTCCTCCCTCTTTTATTACCAATGTAATATGCAAAATGAAAATAGTACTTAAAGTTACAATTTTAAGTTTACGATAAACTAAAAGTTGCACTGTGTAGTATGGATTTGTTCATGACAAAGCTCTTTCAGTATAAAATAGCATCAAGGGAATATGTGCACCAAACACTGATCTTATATAATATGTGTTTAACTCTACAAATCTTCTTATAACACAAGCTCGGACCTCGGTATGTGATAATTTGCCTTCAAAATCAAACCTCGTTAAAATGCAGACCTTGCTATAACGCGGTTTTTTTGGGCTAAATTATCTCCTAAGGAATAATCTCCTCCATCGATGCGCGTTATAACGAGGTAAGCTACTGTATAATAATACTTATTAAAATTTAAATTTATCATTAAACTAAATTTATCCTTACCTTTTAGGGGTAACCAAAGCAAAGTCGTAATAATTATCACCGTCGTTTTCATGTTCTGGCTTCTGATATATTTAATTTTTTTATATATTATGTAGTTTAATACGACTGATAAAGTGATAAATCAAATATAACAACAGAAATATTTTTACCTTAAATATTAAATGTGACAAAAATATTTATTTATTGTTTGATAATCTCATATCAGCCAAGACTTAAAAATATTTGACAGAATCTAAACGATTTTTAATCGACTGTATGATCCCTGTAATTCTGTTACGAAATCACTGCGTGGAATGGATTAGGGACATGATTGACGTCCATGGAACTGGACACCTTATAGATAAGATAAAACTATATGAAAAAAGACAATAAACTCATTTCGATTACTGAGCACAGATTTATGAAATATTAAAGTCTGTCTCAAAAAATATTATTTTTCACCATAAGTTTTTCCTTAAACAAAAAGAATAATGGTAAGAACTAATGGTAAAGAAGAAGACTTAGATAAGCTCCCCGACGCGATACACGAGGCCAGGATAGCGTTAGCCCTTAAAGTTTATGTGCAGCCGGCATCAATCGAATAATTTGTACGCTGTTCAGTGTTCTAGATATGAAATGAAATGAAATGAAATGAAATGAATGAAATGAAATGAGGTATTTATATCCCGCTCATATGATTAACCAACAACACAAGGAAGGTGGTTAACCATGTCAGAGCGGCTGACTGTGAGTGATGTGAGCAAAAGTGTAAAAAGTGAACTAAAGTATAACTCAGCATAAGGCAAAGACAAAATTAAAACATCTTTTATTGTAAACCACACTAAACTAAATAGAAGCAGAAACCATACAGTACATGTAGGTAAATAAAGGTTAGTACAGTGACATAATCAATCAAGAAAGAATCAGATCCAAGTAAGTAAGAGATCAAGGCATAAAATGGAGTGCGGTAAAAAATAAAAGCCAATGTGTCTTGCAAAATGAAGACAATGGAAAGAAAAACATCAGAACTGATTATATAAATGATTCTTTAACATTCGCTTGAAACAGTTGGTATCAGTGATACATCTCAACATCAGGGGAAGAGAGTTCCATGCAATCGGTGCATGGCTTGAGAAACGTCTGTCATCAACTTTGGATCTTTTATTCTTTGGTACCCTGAGCATGAGATGGTCATCAGGTCTCTTCGACCTGGTCATGGTCATGGTGTTTGAGAGTTCTTTATCCACTACATCCACATCCAGTAGTGCTTTGAGGTAATCAGGTGCAGTACCGTGAACTGATTTGTGGGTTAAAAGACAAACTTTAAAGAAGATTCGTTGGTCTATAGGGAGTATGTGGGCCTTCTTATAGAAGGGAACCAAGTCCGTGGTCCTCTCTTCTATGTTATAGATGAAACGAACTGCCCCATTAAGGGTTGATCTAAGTTTGTTCAATCTGGTCTTGGGTAGATTCATGTAAAGAGAATTACAGTAGTCTAATTTAGATATGACCAGTTGTTTCACCAGCATCAATTTAATGCCTTCATCAAGGTAACGACCAATGGTTCTTAGAGTCATCATTGTCCAGCTGCATTTCCTTTTGACATTATTGATCTGTCTTTCCATATTTAGAGTTTCATCAAATTTGACACCCAGACTCTTCCAGCTGTCTCCTTTACACCCCGTAGGCAGAATTTCAGTGCTTCCAAATTGCAGTCTGACACTGAGTTCACACTTTTTTAGAACATGGCTCTTTCCTAACACCAGTAGTTCTGTCTTTGTTTCGTTCAGTTTCATGTAGTTGTTCACCATCCATGCTTTTATCTCTGCAAGACATTTGTTTGTTCTGTCTTGGACATCAATGAACTGTACCACACGGTTTGGTTTAAATGAGATGTACAGTTGAGAATCATCTGCATAGAGCTGTATATCAAGACCATATTTGGCCGCAATTTTCTGGAGAGCTTTGATATAAAGGATGAAAAGAATAGGCCCCAAGAGTGATCCCTGGGGAACTCCAAACAGCAGCTCCAAGAAAGATGAAAGAGTATCATCAATCTTAACACAGAAGTGTCTTTTCTCAAGGTAGGACTTTATCCATTGCAGTGCACTTCCAGTAATTCCATAGTCCTTCATAAGCTTTTCCAATAAGACTGTGTGGTCAATGGTATCAAATGCTGCACTTAAGTCGAGAAGTACAACTATAACAACATTCCCAGCTTCAATTTCTTTGTTTAGATCATCACACATTCTAACAAGAAATGTTTCACAGCTATGATTAGGGCGATATCCAGATTGGACTTTTGAGTAAAGGCTATGGTTCGTTAGATGGACATTAAGCTGATTTAGTACAATTCTCTCTAGGATCTTAGAGAAGGCAGAAAGGTTAGACACTGGTCGATAGTTACTGAGAATATCAACATCAGCATTTTCCTTCTTCAAAGTCGGTTTGATGACTGCTTTCTTCATATCTGAGGGAAAGACTCCAGTCTTCAAGGATGAGTTCAATACATGAAGTAAAAAAGGTGTTAGTTCATCGACACAGTTTTTTAAGAGAAATGCTGGGATCGGATCCAAGCAGCAGAACTTGTTGGACATCTTTGATACCAGGTCTTTGAGTTCATCAGCTGTTATCTCAGAGAAATTATCAAAGATGCAGTCTTTATCAAGAACAGGATCTTTGTCTTTGTCTTCGTCTTTGTCTTTGTCTTTGTCTTTGTCTTTGTCTTTGTCTTTGTCTTTGTCTTTGTCTTTGTCTTTGTCTTTGTCTTTGTCTTTGTCTTTTCCTTCCTTCTCAATGGCTTGTCTGATGGTTGCAACCTTTTCAGCGAAGAAATCTTTGAAATCTTCTGACAGTTTCACAGGATCCTTGTAGTTTGGAAGGTTTTGGGTGTCATTTCCTAAAAGCCTGTTGACTTTTTTGTACAACGCTTTAGTATCCCCTGAAGAGGACCTAAGAGAGGTTTTGTGGTGAGCGCATCTTTTGACAAACTCTAGTCGGGAAAACTCATCTCTTAGCTTAACATAATCCGATCTCAGGTACTCAAATCTTGCACTGTCTATATCATCAACTTTATCTTTTCTCCACGCACGTTCAGCAGTTCTTCTCTTTCGCCTGAGAATACGAAGTTCCAGGTCTAACCAAGGCATTGGCTTCTTAGTAATCTTCTTTTTTATGTAAGGACAGTGTTTATCCATTAACTGAGTGAGCACGGTGTTGTAAAGGACAACAGCATCATTCGGAGACATGTCTTTAGGGAAGTTTGTCAGTTTTGAAATTAAAATATCTTCTTTAAACTGTTCTGTATCAATTAAATTAAAGTTTCTGTAGTTCATGAATTTTGCGTCTTCTTTGGTCTTTGTCTTGATGTCTGCATCGAAGAGGACAAGGAAGTGGTCAGATTTGGTTCTAGAGGGACAGATTTCGAATGAAGTCAGTTTTTCCTTGAAGGATCGGTTAGTCACTACAAGATCTAGGGTTCCACCTTGGTCATGGGTTGGTTCAAGGGGAACGTGTTGGTATAGATCATACTCCTCCAGGAGTTGGTAGAGCTTCTTTGGGTAGTGTTCTTCAGGCTTTTCCATGTGAAAGTTGAAATCTCCAGCAATGATGGGGAAGCCAGGTTTGACTGTGAGGTCTTTAAGGTAGTCTTCGAATTCTTCTAAAAAGGCACACTCCGTGTACCGAGCCTTCTTGGTATAAGGAGGCCGATACAAGTTCACAAGTCTCACAATATCTTGTTGAGATTGTAGCAGTGATTCCATCACTTGGAAGGATTTGTACTTCATGACCTTACTATTACACTTCAACTGGAGCACATCACGAAATAGCATAGCTATACCTCCTCCTCCTCTGTGTTTTCTTGGATCCGAGAGTATATTCCAACCAAGGTCTTTGATCTCCTTTATCTTAGCTGTGTTTCCATCACGAAAGAAGGTTTCTTGTACAAAACAGATGTCACAATCAACTTCTTGAAGATGCTCTAACACTCCGACTGTTTTGTTCACTAGGGATCTAACATTGAACGTTCCAATCCTTAAACTCTTCCTAGGCGTAGTTTGGTCTCCTTTGTCTTCTGTATGTACCAGTTTTTTGCATTCTCACATCCTGCTGTCCTATTCATTATTCCAGTCCGTTCTCTTACATATGAGGGACATAGGTTATCAGAGGCTTTATGGGTCTTTGCTGAGTTCTTCTCCGAGTGTTTACTACTTTTGGCGCAGTTAGAGCACTTTATCTTTTTTACATTATTTTCACTCTTGTTATTACAATCTTTCGACTTGTGGCTTCCTGCACAGAAGAAACATGTTGGGTCTTTATCTTTGGCTTTACAGTACATGGAATTGGCCATGTGACCAAATTCCTGGCAATGATAACATTGAATGACATGAATTCGGTCTGTGACATGGTGTTCCCTGAGGTCAATGTGTATATAGTCTCTGTTTTGTCTGATTAACTCACGCATTGCTGCAGTGACACGGATGACAGCCGATTTCTCAATCTCATCGAAGAAAACCACTTTTACTGCATCGTCTTTTCCAGGAGAGGACTTCAGTATTTCATTCTTTTCCAAAAGTTTCTCTAGCAATGTCTCCTTGTTTGTGATGTCAGAGGGAATATTCCGAATAGACAATTTGGGGTCCAACTTCTTTCCTGGTTCGGATTTTGATGATACTTTGTATTTATCTTGAGATTTAAATACTGTCTCAGCTTTCTGAAGTTGATCCCTGGTCACAAACTTGAAAGTTGCAGTATTTCCGGACACTGTATAGTTCTTCACTGGGTTGACTTTAAGGGAACCTTTCATTTCCTTTTCATCCTCCTTTGTAATGGGTTCTTCAGAACTCCCAGTCTTTTTCTCCACTGTGAGAATGTGTTTTTCTGCGAGCTTCGTTTCTTCTTGAGTCTTCTTTTCTTTGGGTAGTGTTGCCACCACTGAAGTCAATAAATTGGGTAGTATTGTAGGGAGTACTTCTGCTAGTACCTCTTTGAGCTGTGTCTTTATAATTTCTTTGAAATCTGGTGATTCCTGTTTGGTAGAAGTTGTGGCTTGTTTTGTTCCTAGAACAGTTTTTGTTAGTTGAAGAGCATTTTTGGAGAAAGTGTAAATATCCTGGATAACGACAAGCATGTCTGGTTTGGAAAATGAACCTAAAAGGTCCCCACTAGCCGCGGATTCAATAGTTATCTTAATCTTATTATCTTTATCATCTTTCTTACCTTTAAACTTCAGTGAAGTGCAGTTTATCTTTTCCAATTGTTCCTCCATCTTTTTCAGGTCCAACTCCATCTTTTCCATGTTAAACACCCTGCTACAAAGATCAAGGACCGAAAGACAAAATGACAAATTGTCAGTTCTTAAAAAAACTAAACAACTGCTTTGTAATAATTCGATACCTCAAATTATTTGTTATATAGTAGTGTTGAAAGTATTAAAACTGAGAGCGTGCAAAAGAAAATCCTGACCCTAACCCTTAAATAGTGTACTGATCTACAAGAAAAGGACCGAGGTGATCTTTGTGTGTCACGTGTACCCATCGCCTTGCAACCGCCTTTGACCTGATGCCTCTTACGAGGTTCTTAGATAAGCTGATAACTAATGCATGATTAAGCTGGTGAGTTGGGGCAGCCTAATGATTTGTGAAAGAATCAGGTCTCATCTGTAGGTTTGAATATTCATCGTTACTAGAAAATTTGGGCCAGCCAAGTGGTCAGTGAAAGAATCAGGTCTCTTCTCCTAGTACAGCAGATCTGAATATATGAATATTTTTCTTACCAGAAAACCAGGCCGGAGAGCTTTGCAGTACATGGCATGCGTCATGCAATAAAAAAAGGTGAGGGATCGTGAATGGTGCAGATTAAGATCATTTAAGGGATTGTTTACTAGGTTTGATGAGAAGTTATAAAATGTGACTAGTGAAGCACATGTTGTACCACAACTTCTACCACATGTCATTCATGTCCCAGCTTACCTGTTAAAAGAAGAAAAAAAGCTGTATCTTCATCATCAATAGTCAATATTCAATAGGTCCTTTTTAACCATAATAAAACTTATTAAAAACCACTAAACCCCCCCCCCCCACCCCCCCCCCCCCCCCCCCCCCCTGTAAAATGAGGAGCATTATACCTGAGCCTGTGCCGCCTCCAATAGAATGAACAAACTGGAACCCTTGCAGACAATCTGATCTTTCAGCTTCTTGTCTAACTACGTCCAATATCTGAATTATGTTTTGCGGATAACCTGCCAGATTATGAGACTTAACAAAACGTGACATAAACGAGCATGTTGATCCTAGAATGAGACCAGTTAAAATAGAGAACTCCAGATAGATAAATTTTATAGATATGTTAAAAATGTTATAAATATGTTAACTATTAATGCTTTTCAAACAAAGTTACAACGAATTCTTCATGTAGTGCATCCTGGATTTGGACAGGATATGCCCGTTTAAAATATTTTCTCAATAAATGTAATAGATTTGTATTATTGTAATAAGGTTTAACTATGTTAAATGTGATGAGATACCTGTGATGAGATAATGTGATGAGATACCTGATCTCAGCTCCTTCTGTGTAGTGACCCTTGGCCCAGTTGTTCCCTGCTCCACTTGCTCCATGTATATAGTTGGAGGGATTAAAGATCCTGCCCCACTCACTGCCCTTAACTGCTTCTATCGTACCCGGCTCCAGATCTACTATAACTGACCGGGGTACAAACCTGCAGTAATAAGGGGAGATGTTGATTAGAAAACTATTGTTTGGGGCCAGTAGAGTAAATAATTCATGGGTTAATATTATTTGCTAGCTCTACAAATGCGGACCTGCCCTGAGAAGCTCTGTTCCAGTAAACATCAGCTCGGTTTAGCATGACGTCATTAACACCGTCATGCTGTCCGTCCTTGTCTATACCGTGCTCCTGAAAATATACGGTAAGGGAAATCGTGCAATGGTTCAACAAGAAGGAGATCCGAGAGAGAAGAGATCTAAAGTTGAAGATTTTAGATCCTTGATTCATGTTATATTACCTATTCATGTTATTTATGGACACATGACCGCTCTAGGGACTACGGGTGGAAGATGAATAATTGAAATTCCAACAGCATCCTGTTCCGTTCATTGTGCTGATTCCGGGAAATATTCTGTTTACGCTCTCACTCTTATCTCAAGAGTTTGTATAATATGGGTGGCTGAACTGAATCGTTCGATTTGATATTACGTTGTTAATGTCAACGCAACTGCGCGCACTGTCCGAAACACCAGGTTTCAGGGTTAGCCATGTTAGCAATGTTAACCATCTTAACTATGTTTACCATGCTAACCATGTTAACCATGTTAACAATATTTACCATGTTAACCATGTTAACCATGTTAACCATGTTAACAATATTAACTATTATATTAACCATATTAACCATGTCAACCATGTTAACCATGTTAACAATGTTCACTATGTCAACCATATTAACCATGTTCACAATGTTCACCATGTTAACCATATTAACCATGTTAACCATGTTAACCATATTAACCATGTCAACCATGTTAACCATGTTAACAATGTTCACTATGTCAACCATATTAACCATGTTCACAATGTTCACCATGTTAACCATATTAACCATGTTAACCATGTTAACCATGTTAACCATGTTAACCATGTTAACCATGTTAACCATGTTAACCATGTTAACCATGTTAACATTAACATACCTTGCTAATACTCTCCCAGAACTGGGTTCCTATCTGGTTTCCACACTGTCCCACTTGAATGTGAATGATCTCTCTCATCTCACTCCAACTTCACAACTCCTGCTCAGTTTAGCAATTAGGGAGATATTGTTAAGAGCTTTGCAGTTGTATGAATTTAGAAGGAAATTATGGTAAAGTAGCAGTGATGAGTGACACATGGCCAGTTTTCATCAGTACTTCATGAATATTCTGATATTGGAGGTGTATAGTAAAACTGTTCATCAACGTTCCCATTGTCTCGTAAGTTGAGAGATGTTCAAGATTTGTGGAACCGTGTCGGCGAACTTGGCCGATACCTTTCAGTAAAGGTGAATAAATTACATGTTCTTTGAGTAAGATACCGAGGCGATGGTATTGACTCTATTTATATCAAATCAAGCTTATTCAAAATGACCACCAATTTAATAAAGCTATGAGAAAAACTTTAAACATAGTTTTAACTCAAAGATATATTCTACTGGAATTGTTATGTGCACTGTAAATTGGCAGTGGGAACAATTAAAAATGTGAGCAAAGCATCCTGCATCAATGTGAATTGTGAACTGTAAATGTGGTAACAAAGTCAATACGTACCATCAATACTAATGTTGCTGTTTGTATACATTGAACAAACAAATGGATTGTTATTTTAGAATGGTTATTTACATCTTTTGCAACCATGCCATTTCTTGTCATATTACAAAAGAAACAATATTTCAATTAAACGAAAATTGTAAATTAATATGAAATCCCAGAAAACAACAAATAATCTTACAAAATAAAATAAAGTGTCATCACAAAATTAGTATATTTATATCATCTCAACTCAAAACGAAATTATTAAGTAATAACATGTCAACATGCAAACAAATAAATAATTCACAAACTCCCGGCAATAAATTTAAAATCTAACAAGAATTGCGCCCGTTGTTTCGTTTTGGCGGACGCAAGATTTCCGTTCACTATAACTATAAATATAAGCTCCAATCAGCTCACTTCATAATAATAATATTGATGCACGTCAGTACACTATACTACGCATGCCAAGTACAAATCGGGCTTGGCCCGCTTATAACCTAATACTATACATTACACCGTTATATACATTGAAACACAGTCGCGCCGCGCATTCATTGACCACAGGCTATCTATACATCACATCTCCGCAAGCAATCCTCGCGCGCTGCACTGCGCGCTGGTTGTCATGGTAACGGACGGAAGGACAGATGACAACATATTCAGACCTGCCTACCGCTATCTCCAAAATCCACGTTTTTCTGCAAAAACGTCCATTCGTAACCTTTCACTATTGCCTTTTTTCAAAAGGGTGAACGGAAAAAATTGATACCTAAAATAATTCAAATAAAACATCAAATAATCAATAAATGCATCAATAAATAACTAATATGAATAATTACTATAAATAGAAACGAATAAACTTGAATGTTTTGAAATATAAAGTCTTTTAGAAAAATTAATTCACTGTAAATTCGATTTTAAACCTGAAATTTGATATTACGGGTGTAAGGCTGTCAGAATGATGCGGCTGTCAGAATGAAGTTTTTATCAAAAATCAAATTACGTTGTTAGAAACTTTATTTTGGGCATATTAAACAGGTTTGCATATACTAAAAACACAAATAAACACTTCCATCACTGAAAGAAAGGCTAAAAATGATTTATTACTGAAATATTTGGAAATACACTTTCAAATTTTGACATTGCATAAATATGAGGCAGTTTTGTGATCTTGTTGTTAAAGTTATCCCTATAAGACCTGGTACTGGTATATCAAACAACTCTAAAAGAATGCATTCATACCCTAAAAAACCCTCAATAAACATGTGTTAACAAATTAAAACAGAAAATTCAAACGGCTGTCAGAATGATGGTATGGCGGCTGTCAGAATGATGATATTCTGCATTCAAAAAAAGTTGATCAAAAACATCAGAAACAACCGATACATAAAAGAATGTGTTTATTTGTGTTTTTAGTATATGCAAACCTGTTTAATATGCCCAAAATCAAGTTTCTAACAAAGTAATTTGATCTTTGATAAGAAATTCATTCTGACAGCTGCATCATTCTTCTGACAGACGTACACCCGTAGATAGTCAGTATATTTATAACACATTGCACAACTTTTCAAACAGTAAAACATCCAAACAAAGCTGGGAAGAATTGCAACTACACTAACTGAACACTAACAGAACAATCCATGGTTACAAGCTCTCTCTCTTAACTGACGGTCCCAGACACACCAAACTGACACTCGGCCACAAGCATGCCAAAATCATCAAAAACCTCAACACTACACTCAGCAACAACAGACAAGATTACAGAACTGCAGTTCACCTCATCACGGGTCACTGCGGCCTAAATAAACACCTTCACACCATTTGCAAATCAAACACCAGTGCTTGTCCTATGTGCGGGGACGGAGAGGAAACTGTCTCACACTTCCTTGGACAGTGTCCGGCTATTGCCCAAATTAGAGGTCAATATTTCCAGGACTACTACCTCTCTGTCAATGACATATTCGACAACCAACACATCACCACAATTGTCAATTTCACAAACCGCACCAAACGCTTAATTGTGCTGGAAGAGTTGGATCAGACCGGGGTGACTTAAAGTATTATCTCATATGCTGTCTCGTCTCGTTTTACTTTTCCAAACCCAGCTGGCATTTAAGCGTATCATTTTGACTCATATAACATCCTACACCACCCTCCACCAATCACTCTGATCTCACCGGCAACCTTCCCCAAGGTTGCCACACCCCAGAGGTAGGCAGAGCATCTCAATGCTATCCTCTCGTGGGCTATCATGGCCCAGCCTCTCTAAAAAAATTAAAAAAAAAAAAAAAAGCTCTCTCTCATAACTGCTTGAACTTCAATATGTTGGGCTCACAGAACAGCGCCTTAATGAACGCATGAATGGACACCGTGCTTCGGTTAAAGCCGGCAAATCCTCCTTTGTCCATGACCACTTTAAGGGGACATACACCAAACATGGACTTTCATGTTTGGAATTCCAGGATTGGAAAGATGAGGTCTCCCGGATCTTCACCAATCGCCATTACTTCCTCTCCTCCTCCCCTAATAACTTCACTCCCTACAATTCCATTCTACAAAGGGATGATGTTAAATCTTATCTCGACAGTCTTTCTTCTTCTTTTATTATTTGCTCCGTAGATAAAGCTTCAAATAATTATGTTTTTGTCTGCAAGAAGTTTTATCTTTTAACCCTTCTCAACGAACTTGGCTACGATCTCACTTCTCTAGAGTGTCGTGGAAATTCTACTTATGGATGATATTATTCAGGAACATGTGAACTTCATTAAAGATAACTTTAATATTCGTGTTTCTGAGGACAACCTTTGTCTACCGAGAATCTTTTGGATTCCTAAACTTCACAAGAATCCTTATAAGTCTAGATTTATAGCTGGGCCAGTAAATGTAACACTAAGCAGATATCAGTTGTAGTCAACAAAGCTTTAAAAGTTTTAAAAGAATACTTTTCCAAATACTGCAACTCTATCTACAACAATACTGGAATTAACTGCGACTGGAGCATTAACAGCTCTAAACAGTTCCTGGAAAGGCTGCCTAGACTAGAGATTTTTAATATGCAGGTATACGACTTTACCACTCTGTATACCAATCTAGACCTTCAGGTTGTACAGTCACTGCTTTTCGAGCTAATAGATCTCCTCTTTAGTAATACGAATAAATTTATTTGTGTTTCTCTGTATAAGAACAACAATTTCTTCTCTAAAAAGGAATATAACGGATACTTATGTTTTTCTGCTGATAAACTCAAAACAGCTATTACATTTATTCTGTTTAACACTTTTGTTTGTTTTGGGGATCAGATTTTAAGGCAAACGAAAGGCATTCCCATGGCAGGGAATTCTAGTAGCCAGGGGGTCCTTTCCGAAATGAAACTTAGTAGTAAATATTGCTTAGTTTTCCCTTTTTTGCTAAAATCCGTTCCGAAAACCAACTTAAGTAACAAAGTTAGCAAATTTTCAAGCAAAATTTTTGAATTAAGTTTTTACTTCGATTTTTGCTTAGTTTCAACTTAAGAGCTATTTTTTGCTTAAGTTGCTTCCAATTTTTCATTTTTTGCTAATTTTTTTAAGTTTGGTTCAGACCAACCTTAGAATTGTAAGTTTTTACTTAATATCCCAAATTTCATTGCAAGTTGATTGAATTGAACAATTTGAACAATAATTCAGTGTTCATAAAAGGATTTTCTTTAGATTTGTTTGGAGAGGCGAATCATACACAGTTTAGGTTCTAAAAAGGATTTTAAAGTTATCATTTATCAAGAAAAGTAATCATTAACAATATTATTCCGTACATTAATTCCTTTTCTGATTTCTTCCGCCTCGTTCGGCTGCCTTGGAGGGGCAGCCCGCCGGGATTGTTCAGCTTGCTCTTCTCTCATATCTTGAAGAATGTGTGGCAAAATTTCTGGATCACGAATTCTCCTATTACGGCAGTAATTATGAAATACAACGCATGCAGCAATGATATCGCAACTAATTTTTGGTTTGAATTGCAAACCGTACAAGCATGCAGTTTCGGCTTCCAAGAGAGCCTGAGTCTTTCTGGCTGGCCCACCTCCGGTAGCCTTTCTATATTTTATACGGTCTCTTTCTTGTTTCTTAAGTTCATTGACCATATTATCGTATTTTTTCAGACAATCGTCCCCATGGTTCTATCTCCGTATCCATTCATCCCGTTAATTTCTTGAGCAATATGTTTCCATTTTCCTTGTTTCCCTTTCTTTGTTATAGTTGGCCCGAAGCGACCTTTCAAATAAGCTTTCTCAGCATTAGCAAGTTGCAACAGTAAAGTCTTCTCTTCAGAAGTAAACGAGCGTGCTCTTTGTTTGCCGGCCACACTCATGGTAACACTACGAGGAAACAAATTAGGGAGATTCAGATTTAATCACAGTGCAGATTCGAATTTCAATAGTGAATATTAGAACTCATAAAATTAACATTTATTGATTATCAAATTCAAATTGCGATATCAAATTCAACTCAACATGGTTATATTCATGATAACAAAATCCATGGCACACCAACAAGCACGTGATCGCACCAACAAGCAATTGCATGACGAATTAATTACGTCATCAGAGTTTTTGCGCGCATTTTAGGCGCGCATTTGTTACTTGCACGTGTAAATTTGTAACTTTGACGCGTTTCGTAAACACTTTAAGTAAAAGTTTCGGAAACGCTGCACTTTACTTAAGTAGTGTTTCGGTAAGGACAAACATGATTTTACTTGGCGATTACTTAAACTAAGTAAGAACTTAAGTTTCATTTCGGAAAGGACCCCCAGTTCGCTGATCTTTCGCTAGGGAAGTGTGAATTCAACTACATGACACGCCTAATCAAAGAAAAGAAGTTCGGTCTCGCTAAGCTCCTCTCAAGAAACTGCAGATATGTCGACGACTTCAACACCATGAACTATTTGTATTTCTCTAACCTAATCAGGTCCATTTATCCACCTGACCTGCTTATGGAGAGGAGTGGTGACGACAATAAGTCCGTAAACTATCTCGACATCAACATCTCGATGAATAACTCCGGACACGTCGCCACCAAGCTTTACAACAAACTTGATGACTTCAACTTTCCTGTGGTCATGTACACCTTTCCTAACAGTGATATTTCCTCTTCTGTTGGTTATAATGTTTTTTACGGTCAGGTCCTTCGTTACTCTTCCATTATCTCTGACCTTGATTCTTTTCTGTGTTCTACCAACACCCTTTATAAGTTTATAGGACACTTCTTTCAAGATGTTATAATGACAGACTCCTGAAGAGTAAATTCAGAAAGCTTCTGAAAGACCGACCTAGTATTCTGTACAAATACAGTATACTTGATGTCAGCGACATCCTTGACATCACATTTAACGTGGACAGGTGATCACTGACGAGTGATTGCTAGGGGGTCTTGGCACATTAAACCGGTACAGGTATTAAACCTCCGAAACCGGTGTGCCAAGTCATCTGCTGATGATGTTCACATAACATTATTTCCTCTCTCCTTTATTCCTTCCGTCTTTTCTTAAACTTACAGTTCAGTTATTTTATTTCACCAGGTCTACCTAAGGATCAATTATTCTTTGGTGGGGTTTCACTTCTGGTATTGGCTTCATTCCCGTTCCTTTTCCTTATTCTTTATACTTATTTTTTTATATACTTTAATGAGATTTCAAGCAGTTATGAGAGAGAGCTTGTAACCATGGATTGTTCTTCAAGTTGAAGTTGACAATAACATGCAATAAATATAATTGGGGGCCTAGTGCAGTAATTGGGGGCCAGCATTGGAAAAAGTTGTAGTGTGTAAAAGGTCATACTTGTCAATTAGTTCATACACATAGCTAACATAGGCCCTAGAAATACCTCACAGCCCAATATATAAAATTTAAAAGTGTACTATTCAATACGGCTGTCAGAATGAAGGTTTTCTAAATTGCGATTATTGACTTATACCAAAATGCCAGAAATGTTTGATTTGGGTAGAATAACGCTGCAGATATGTGTTAATAACGATAGAGGGTCTAAAAAGATTCCTAGAGCCATGATGGAAAAATGGGGACAACTTTGTTTTGGAAAACTTCATTCTGACAGCCGCAGTCTTCCTTCTATGTTGTATAATTCCCAAAGAATAGTGATTTAGTTGACAAAAGAGGTGATATGGTATTGGTGTATAATTTACCTAACTGCCTGCAAGTCCAATATAAACCAAAAAGTTTTTTTTTGTAATGTAGGCCTCAAAATACAAAACTTCATTCTGACAGCCGTAGTCTAAAAAGGGGTATATTTCATGCCAATTTTTTTCCCTTTTACTGGCAAATTTTAACAATTCCAAACCCGGGGAAGGAAACTTTCCCTAGTTTTTAGGTGTTTGTGAAGTTTCTGGTTTAAAACAGCTGTTTTTAAAGATTTTGTGGCTTTTATAAAAACACCTTCATTCTGACAGCCTTACACCCGTATCAATTTAATAAAGCCGAAAAACGTCAAGATTAACAATATTTCATAACAATGTTTGTGTTAATAAAGATATCCATTGCATTATAATAGGCCCTAATACTCTAATATACTTGCCCACACAAAAAGTTCAGAGGTCTTGCACTGTCACCCCACGTGCATTATCACCCAACCTACAGTGAACTCTAATCCTCGTAAACCTCGTCATCCTCTCCTTCACTGCACTCCTCACTGCCACATTCCTGGTACTTCAGGTACTCTGTACACAAGTCTCGTAGGTTGTTCTCCGCCTGCACCAGGACAACAGGTTATTTGTAATGTAGACATTTAGAAAACAGATACAAAAGGGAACTGCGATGAATTATAGATGTGTCTAACAAACAAACATACAGACACACAAACAAACGTACATACACACAAACAAACCTCAGTGAACTCCTGGAGATCCATGCCCTCCCCTGTGTACCAGTGTGTAAAAGCTCGCCGCGAGAACATCCGAGAGAACCGGTCTAGTGTCCTTCCAAAGCACTCGTGTATAGACGTGTTGTTACCGATAAACGTGCCTGACAATTTAAGTAATATTACAGTAATATGACGGCAGTATTACAGTAATATTACAGAAATATTACAGCAATATTACAGTAATATTACAGTAATATCACAGTAATATTACAGTAATATGACGACAGTATCACAGTAATATTACCGCAACATTACAGCAATATTAATTTACAGCAATGATTGACGACCAAGATAAAAGGCATTTGATGTCAATCTTGAAAGTTGAATTAACTATGCAAAGTAATTTAATATAAACATTACAATGACGACTGTTATCTTGATAATTACAAGTTCTTACCCGCTACACTAACACCCTTAGGAGGTACGTTACAGCAAGCTGTCTTAACGTTACTTGGAACCCATTCCACGAACGAGGAACTGTGTTTAGTCTGAAGATCTGTCATGTGTTTGTCCACCTCCCTCATTGAGATCTTCCCTCGCAGCATGCACGCAACTGTAATGTTTTAATTTCAGTATTATATCTTCCCTCGCAGCATACACGCAACTGTAATGTTTTAATTTCAGTATTAGATCTTCCCTCGCAGCATACACGCAACTGTAATGTTTTAATTTCAATATTAGATCTTCCCTCGCAGCATACACGCAACTGTAATGTTTTAATTTCAATATTAGATCTTCCCTCGCAGCATACACGCAACTGTAATGTTTTAATTTCAATATTAGATCTTCCCTCGCAGCATACACGCAACTGTAATGTTTTAATTTCAATATTAGATCTTCCCTCGCAGCATACACCTAAGCAGCAAAAGAGTTATTTATTTTAAAATTTATTTTTGTATCTCAAAAATGATGTAAAGTTTTTAATATGACGTAGAATTGAAGCTATTTCCGTACAGCCTTAGTATGCTCGTTAGAAAAACTATGAACATGCTAGCTTACTTTATTTTTGTTAGTCGGCTGACATCTTGGGTTGTACTGGATGTAACAAGTTTATTATCGGATGTTTACTTATATTTATTATGATATCATTATTCATTGTAATGGCAATAAAATTTAAATTTTGTTTAACCTAAATTTTGTTTAACTTAAATTTTGTTTAACTTGTTCCCATCTGGTAACTGTTGTGATCGGAATATCATACTAGATGGCAAGAGGCCACTTCAGTTTTGGAAGGACCATGTACTGATATCCCAAGCACTTCTGGAGTCCAGTAAGGGAACTTTCATCGAGTCTCCGAAGAAAAGTGTTAAGGTCGACCTTGGTTGACTCGATACAATGACTGATTTGTCATTTCCTTCCACTCTTATCCATCTCCCAAGGAACTTTATCGGCTTCTCTGACACATTCGGAATCACCTCACCACCCAACTGCAAACACATCTCTTCTCTCTCCACTTCCTTCTCTCCTACTGCTACCTTCTCAACCCACCTCACAGCCACTCCATTCTTCAACACCAGTGCTCTGGACTTGATGGGACTTTAACTTAAATCTGGACCAGTCCACGTACTTCTAAAACACATTGAGTAACGTTTGCATGTCCTCTGCACGTGCAGTGGTCAGACAGCTATCGTCCATAAACAGCTCCAGAGTTGGTATCGGTTTGTCATACGTTGTTTGGAGGACTTCGCCGCTTCGACGCGCCGCGCAAACTAGCATTCTTGCTTCGCATCGATCGTTGCTCTGCTTCGCAGAGCAAAGATCTCGACGGATTGACATCGTCAATCAAATACGTTGCATGACCCGCCCCGCACGAGTGTGCGGCACCCCCTGTATCGTCGAAACTCTATAGTGAAACGCCAGACACTTTAAATTTGTGTATAGGGGGAGAGGGGCATTGGGACAGCCTTAGCTGCAATTTCTGTAAAATTGCTATCTACCACAAAAACCGAACTGTCACCTACCATGTCACCGAAACAGACTGTTAAGTTACTTTTCGGTATAACCAGCAGCTGGCTTGGGGTCATGTCTAGGTGTGGTCTGGTTTTTCTATCTCTCCTAGATATTTCCCTGATAGTAATTTGTAATTGTTCCTCACTGAGCCCTGGACCAAATTTATCCGTTGTTTACAATAATGTCCATGGTTTCCTAAATACACGCGATTTAGCATCAGGAACACCACCACTAAATATGACCAAGATACATGAATTCCATGGTTATATCTACAAACATAAGCCTCACATCATTATTCTAAACGAGACATGGCTGAAAAATTCCATTCTCAGTAATGAGGTGCTCCCTGACAAATACAAAGAATTTAGGCTTGACCGATCCTTAAGATCGCATCCAGTGGATGCAACCCAGCCCAAGAAATTCAGAAAAAACGGTGGTGGTGTTCTGATTGCCTATAGAACAGACATTGATATCTCGAGTCTAAAGTTCTCTAAAGTTAGTGTTCAAGCTGAATTATTATCCATCATAATTAAGACTCAGTGTGGAAGAAACTTTTGTATATCAACATTTTATAGAGTAGGAACGCTTGGCTTAGATAATTTTGAATCTTTCAAGAAACATTTTGTTACTTTAGCATCTGCCAGAAAATTGCAAAGGCACATTCTGGTAGGTGACTTTAATTTGGCTTCGATTTCCTGGCCAGATGGTCAGTCATCTTGCCAGCTACATTCTAGTTTTGTAAATTTTCTCACTGATGACCTCGGACATACACAACTTATTAGCTCCCCTACTCACAAGTCAGGCAACACCTTAGATCTTGTGTTCACTAACATTCAAAACCTTATTAAGAATGTTAAAGTTTTAGATCAAAACGAAATGTGTATGTCCGACCACTTTTGTATCACTTTTGACATTGATATTAAGACCAAGTATATTAAGCAGCCTAAAAGAAAGATCTTTAATTATAGTAATGGTAATTTTAGGGGCCTGAATTCTGAGTTATTTAGCATCGATTGGGATAAGCTACTTGTCTATGTTACTGAAGGAAGTTGGGACAAACTCTAAAGAGGAACTGCGAACCCTGATGCGGGACAGGGATATATGGAGGGGGTTTTCTGGCGTAGATCGGACTTAGCTCCGACATAGTAGTAGTGGGATAGTATATTTGAGTGTAATGATCCTTATCTTGCCTGGAGTCGATTCAGAGGAGTTCTCGGTGCAGCCTGTGACCGATGGATCCCTAAAAAGACCATTAAGTCTCAGTTCCAGCCCCCATGGTATGACTCCGAATGTGATTGTCTCCTACGAAATAAGGAGAAATGGAGAATAAGGCATATGGGGAGCAACTCTGAGTCTCATAAACAAAAGTTTCGTGCATTTTGCACAAAATTTAAAAATTTGATGGACGAAAGAATGAGACTCAGTGTTGAGGATGACTCCGATGATGCTCTTATCTCCAAGAAATTCTGGACCTACGTTAAATCTAAATCAAAGTCAACCAGGATCCCTGAAACTGTCAAATATCATAATCGCTTTCGAAACAATCCATCTGATCAAGCTGCCCTTTTTAACGAATATTTTTATGAGCAGTTTTCTCAAGAGAGCGATTATGGCATTGACATAGATTTTCGTGATGATTGTTTCTCAAGTCTTGTGTTTAGTAGAGAAGATGTTCTGTTGATTCTTAAAAAGTTGAATCCTAACAAGGCCCCTGGCCCTGATGGGATTCATGGGAGAGTCCTCAAAAACTGTGCCCAAAGCCTTGCATACCCACTTAGTGTTTTATTTAACCTGTCTTTCTCAAGCGGATGCATACCCCCTGATTGGAAGCTGGCACTAATTGTAGTACCAGTGCACAAAAAGGGCGATAAGTCTTCGGTTGAGAACTACAGGCCTATCTCGTTAACATCTCTTGTAATGAAAGTCTTTGAAAGGTGCATAAAGACTGCATTATACGCTGCATGTTCTGATCTGTTGGATGACCGACAACACGGTTTTGTTAATGAACGTTCATGCACAACCCAAATGATACCTTTCACGGGCAATCTTGCACACAGTCCTAAACTAGGATCATTTGTTACCTTTGCTGATGACACCAATACATTTGTTGTCGGCAAAACAAAACGTGAGGCATATGAACGAGGAAATGAGCTTTTGTTATCATTACAATCTTATATGAGAGCGAATAAATTACATATAAACATGTCCAAGTGCTGCTACATACACTTCAAACCCACCATGGCAATGAAACAATAAGTTTTCAATGAAACAATAAGTTTTATTTTACATTCCTTTCATAAATAAAATAAGAGCTTAAACCACGAATTAGTTAACTAGAAGTAAACTTGAGGAAATATTCTTTAGTGGTTGTATATAATTATTCAAAAAACTTTATTTGTTAGTATTTTTATTATGGGAAGTGGTTGAATTTAGTGAGACAAGGTCAGTTTCTCTTTTGTCTCAGAAAAATTTCTACTTTACAGTAGGCAATGCTGAGTGGCAGGAAAGAATTAGAAAGAATGAAAGAATTAGAAATTAGAATTAGAAATTAGAAAGATCATTACAAAATTACATGTGTCAGATCCCAATCAGTTAAATGAAAGTTATACAACCAAACAATAAAAAGAACATAATATCTTAAATAAATAATTAAATGGTTTGAAAGTGTGCACGAAATAAGGATACTAAGTCATAGCTTACTTTTAGGAAATCTTTCACGAAATAGATTATAAACAAAATTTCTGGTCTCTAAAATGTAATCCTCATTAAATAATTTACTGAATTGACTATTTGTGAGTATGTTGTGAAGGTCTGTGCTGTTTCTTTGTCTGATCTCCTTGTAGACAGGACATTCTTTAAGCAAATGGACTTCGTCTTCTTTAATGATGTCACTAAACGGGAGCTCGTTCAGGAGGTCTATGGTGATTCTGTCTGAGCTGCAGCAGAAGTGGCAAGCTCTGTAGAAGATGCTTGAGTTTTTCCAGCCATATCGCCCCGTCTCGATATTAAGTTTGTGGGAGCTTGTCCTCAGCCATGTGGTACATCGGGTTTTCTTGTGAATAGGTAGAGACAGGTATGGTTCTAATCCAAAGCTGCTTTTGACTTTGTTGTAGAAAGTAAGCTTTTTGTTTTCAGGTCGAGCTTTTTCCCACTTTTCTTGGAACCAATTTCTCGTTCTACTCCGAACGAGTTGGCTGTTTGGCATGGGAACATTCTTCGAGACAATTGTTCGTTTAATTGCTCCTGGGTCAAATGCGTCGGTCAGCGCTCTCGATGTTCGGAACCAGGTCAGCTTTAGGTTTCTTTGCTCTACAAAAGCATGGCGAACAATCTGTGGTGAGTTTTTTCTGTCAAGGAGGACGAGCCTGTTGTGGAAGTCAAGAAAGAGCTTACTCAGTTGTATTCCAAGGGGATATCTTCCTGTGTCTCCCCATATCGGGATATTTGAAGTTCTCTTGTTGACCCCAGTCGTCCATTTTAGCAGCGAGAGATGCAGGCGCTCGATGCTGTCGTTCATTTATGCTTAATTTGTCTGAAACTGACCCTACTGCACTTCTAACATTCTATAAAAATCTCTTCTAAAATAGGTATAAAA